CACCGTTGCGGGCGGACAACAGCGCCTCGCTCACGACGTCCATGACGTCTCAGCCAAATCCGAATCGGCACATCACAGAGGCCATGCTCGATGCCTTCTTCCGGCACTATCACGTCAGCTACCCGGTTGTCCACGAGCCGACTTTCCGCGCGCAATACAGCGAGGTGATCCCTCGGCCAAACGGACAGTGCTGGACGGCTCTCGCGTACATAGTCGCAGCGATCGGGGTGTGGACATCGGCCCCAACGTCGGCAGATACACTGGACATGGCGCTTTTTGCGCAGGCCAGGTCGATTCTGGGCTTCAACTTTCTCGAAGTCGGGAACCTGAGCCTGGTCCAAGCACTCATCCTGGCGTCAAACTACCAGCAGAAGCGGGACAAGCCCAACTCTGGGTACAACTACCTGGGGCTGTCGGGGCGAATGGCCATGGGCCTGGGTCTGCACAAGGAGTTTCAGGGGTGGAACATTCCCCCGCTGAACATGGAGATTCGGAGACGGGTCTGGTGGTGTCTCTGCTCCTTTGACATTGGCGCGAGCATCACCTTTGGCCGGCCGGACGTGTGGCCGCACAAGGGCGTCGAAGTCGCGTTCCCCCTGAACGTCAATGACAAGGATCTCACTGCTGCGTCGCAGGCATACCCGCGCGAGAGCCGCCAGATGACACCATATACGGCGGTGGCGACACAGGCGCGGTTTCATATCGCTACGCACGAGTGCTATCAAAAGGTGATTTCGAAGCCGTTCCCGACGGCTGAAGAGCTGCTCCGTCTGGACTCGTCTCAAATAGAGCCCTGGAAGGCCAGCATACCTCCTTACTTTGCAGAAGGCACGCCGGTTCCCGGCCGGTACGCCCTGCCGCAAGCCATCATGGCCTGGCGGCTGCGCAACCTGCGCATCATCATGTACCGGCCGTTCGTGATTCGCCGGGCATTGCGACGAAGGGCCGACACCGACAAGGCCAGCGCAATAGCCTACGAAAGGTGCCTGGCGGATGCCGAGTCAACCATTGACATGATTGAGGATTTCTGGAACCGGCACGAGCACAATCGGCTCGCAGCTTGGTATGGACTGTAAGTGGCCCCGATGTTGGATGTCGTCTGGAGAATAGCAGGGTTGACGGCTGATTGAAACCCCGTCTAGATATTTTCTCTTCCAGGCAGCACTCATTCCTTGCATTTGTCTCCGAGACGACCCCTCTGCGGCCGAAGCATCAGGCTGGCGCAGACAAATCAGCATCGCGCTGAATGTCATTGCAGCCATGAGCTCCCTGAATGCTAGCTCGGCCCGGTGCCACCAAATCATATCCGACCTGTGCAGCAGGCATCTCGACACGACTGCCTCGGCAAACATGGAGACGCCATCATGCGCAACGCCTCACATGTCGCAGCAAGTCCTCGAGACCAGGCCGCCGTGGCCTGGAGGCCAACCGGTGGGGGAGGGCCCAGAGACTCAGATAAATGACGTATTCAGCATGATGTGGCCAAACATACCGCCGTTGGAGGCGGCTGATGTCGTCATGGCAGACGAAGTTGGGTGGATGGAGTTTCTGAGGTCGGGGAGTGTCGATAATTGGGATGATGCCTCGGGGTAACCGGGTGACTGTGTCTTTTGCCTCTACGGCAAGGCCATGAGCGTACGAGTCATGAATCTTGGCATTGCTCTCGTCTGCTTCCTACGCGGGATCGCCCAGTTGTAGGGACGCTACAAGGCTCGCACGACATGTTTGAACTTGAATTTCAAGCCTGCCAACCTATCAAAATGTTACCTGGAACGACTGTCGCCCGCGATTGGCCGGCCGAGCTTAGACTCGTGACGGAAAAGTCCATACAACGACCAATGCTCTCTCAGCAAGACGTGTTTCCAAACCAGGTGTCTCTCGAGGCTTGTCACGCCCACTGCAGGCGATTGCTACAACTGGTGGAGGAAGAGATGAGATTTTCACAGCCAATTCAAAGCACAAATGGCACGGGAAAGCACTCACTCGCTTTGTTCCATCAGGCCGTAGGACGGTGTAGTTAGTCTAGGGTCGAAACTTGCACACTACGATGAAAAGATGCGTCAGCTCGTTCTCCAGTGCTCTGAAAAGGCCGTGCAATCGAAACAACTCACAGTCTGACAGGCAAGAGTGTGATCTATTTCCGCGGCGGTTGATGAGCTAGGATACACTCTTGCCTGCTAATAAAGATGTCACGAGCTGGCTTGGCATGCAGATATGGCAGTGTGCAATGCAGTATCAATACTCACGGCCTATATTGGCGCCGTTTAGATTTACAACCGAGAGGAAGCTGAGGAGTATTTTTTTAAAAAAGGAGCTTACCATCTAGGCTCTGTCAGTCCACTGCCTGGAGAGGCGCCAGGAGGCTGTAATTTCCTGCCTGCGGCAAAGTTTGTACGCGCACACTGGCAGACTGGATTATATCAGCACGCCGACTGAACTCGATGTCTAGGCCATGGATACTCGCAAACTACGGTATGAGATTTTAGTGCAGTGCTGGCTCGAGAGTGAACTCGAATGGGGGATTCGGTACATCCTGTACGTGTTTCAGTGTCCCATGCTAGTGAGGATATCACAACTAATAGCTGGGAGCAGCGTACATACTATGCAAACAACAAATTAGCATGAGAGCCTTTGTTTTGGTGGAGTTGGAGAGCACCCACAAACTAGCTTTTGTTCGAAAGGATCAGATGACGGCCACGGTTTTATAGCAATGCCACTTACTCCCCAAGAGCCGTTATTCGCACCAGAGTTGTCACGGCGTCAGTCTTTGAAGAGGCACTTACTGGCTGGAAGGCATAGAGAATTAGTCTTGTGCGTCGACCCAAGGACGGGCATCACTCACCTCCTCAAGTCACGCGCTTGGCAAACTATAAATACTACTACCCATGCGCTTACTTGCCAGCGTCAATATATGCTGGCGAAAGCTGCTACAGAAAAGACAGGCTCATCCTTCAGGGCATACTTGCTCCCTTTGTTGCACAGACTTGGTGTGTTTCGAACGCGTAGTTATCCACGCCAATTTACAAATTGGGTACTCACAAACTACATGTTGCCTCATTTAGTATTGCTACTTGGCGATGCTAGGGATAAAAGTACGACCAACCGTCTAGTTTCATTCAACGCATTGGCAGAATTTTATCTGCTGGCACCTTACTCCCTAGGTCCATTACAGAGCCAACGCACATGCTGCAATCAGATAATGTAGGCACATTCTTCGTATTTTGATAGTCCATCGCACGGAGCACTTACAAACTAGGTCAATTAGCACGTCGTTTCATCTATTATAGACCCGTGGGTGGCAACGGCTACTCACGTCATACGCTTTGCGGTTGGGGCTGCGAAAGAGAATCGTTTCACTTGCACATTGATGGAAATAGTATTTATCATATATACTGCAATTAGGGTCATGTTTAGCGGCAATAGAATACTTGCACCCTTTTATATAAAGCCCCATTCAGCATAGCGCCCGTATCAAGTGTTGGCTTGTTGTAGACCATCCGACTACTACTTACCGGCCAGTGGTGAGATGGGCTCAGCACAAGGTCTTGTTGGAAATCCAGCATCGCTCACTTGCTATTTTTATCGTCAAGATTTGCGCAGGCAGTTTGAGACGACTGCATACCCACTAATGCCCGAGCACGCAAATCAGCATCTTGGTAGTTTTACATGGTAAATATAATACAAAAGCCATGTAGTCTGCGCCGAGCGAAAGCAAGGGGATCCGGGCAGAGCCAAAGTCCGCACCCAGAGCTACAGTCTCATTGTCGAATACGATTTTCCAACCTTGGATTGTACCCATCACAGCTCCAAAAAAGAAACAGCCGCACAGGTCTCAGTTTGCGGTAGTCAGAGTAGGATCTCTGGCCCCCATTTTACCCTCACGCGGGGATCTACGCCTTGAGCAGGCGCTGTCTGTCATACTCGAACCAGAATACAGAGTACGAAGCACCAAGTCCCAAGTTTTGGAAATCGCCCCTTGCATGTGCGTTGTTCATGGATGCTTGTTTTGATTCGTCGAGGACCTGAGACGCCCGAGACTGTGATTGTGGTGATGCCCAACTCTTGACTGCGACGGGAGGATAGCCCGCCCACCACGTCCCCGGCTGGCATTCACTCCTCTGCCAAGTCATTGTGAAGCTGAGATTATCCGGCAAGCCCCCAAGGCCCGTACACATGACACAGCATTTCCCAGTTGTGGCTGACCGTTACCAAGTGACTGTGTAGAAGTCGTTTTACGGCCAGAAATAATTGCCCTATCGCAACCCGCATCCGAACGCTTAGGTCAATCACAGCTGCATCTAAACCATTCGATAGAAGAAGGGTCGTTCCGAGGGCCAATAGGCCAACTCTATTTAGACATTCGTGGAGCCTCTCCCGATGCAACATAGTCTTGCGAAATATACAAAAGTGCCATTCGGACCGACTAAGATCCTGTAGTCAAGGTTGGCTTAGAGTTTCGTGACTGCAACTGGACCAAATGTCACAGACAAGCACAAACATGGGAATACGCATGGAGCAGTCATCATCATATCTCACCTGCGATGGCCTGGGTAGGGAAGGGTGCCATCAAAAGCTTAGGAATAAAAGGCCAGGCTTGTCATTATCGGTCAGAGAGCTGTCCTCTTACGTAGGTTACCTCGCCGGATTACCTTTTCTTTTGTTTGACACTATGCACGATGAAGTCGGTCATGGTTGCGACTTTGCTCTTCTCACGACCACAGTTCCAGCTGCCCTCGACTGCCCACCGCGCCCCCCAAAGCCGCGTCTCTGCCGCAAATGTGGAGGATGGTCGTGAGTCGGATACACGATGCTTGCGGACTCGACATGAACCAAGCATCTATTCTGCTGGTTATGAGTTGGATCGTTACAAAATTTGACTGGGTACGGTTCACAATGGAAACTTGTCACTCTTGGGACAGGAAAAGTCGGGGGAAGGGACCAACGGGCAGTGTGAACAGCGAGACCGAGGGCACTGGCCCTGATTGGCATTGACCTTACATATGTACTCGAATGTTGGTTTCAGGCCAGCTCCAACACAGATAGATGGTGGAGAGATTGTACGGCTGTGGCTGAAGAGGAGGAATTCGTCTCATGGTGCTTCTCGCGGGCCGCACATGGCCGCGCACCATTCCTGATCGGGACAAGAGCCCGGCATTCATCGTCTTGTCACGATTGGGCATCGCCGCCACGTCTCGTCACCGACATCACCCGTCGATCCTGGGCTCCATCACATGACGGTCACCAAGGCCGCTCATCACCGGACGGCTCTACGTGTTACAACCTAGAATGCGAATGCCGCGGCCGATGCCGGCAGACTGATTGTCAGTACAAAGCCAGCTGTCTTGCCCTTGCACCGTGTTCACAGCCCGTTGAGTGGACGAGGATTCTTCGGCATCACGACTCTGCCGCAAAGGCCAGCGATTGTCGCAATCGTCTCCAATCCAGAGTCCCACGTCGTCCTCTGTTCTCCCCATCTGCAAGCCTCCAGCGCCAAGAGGACCATTCTTTCTTCCATTGAGCTCTTGGAATTGGAGACGCTGTTCGAATCAAGTCCCTCGTCCAAACTCAAAAGCCACCCCCGTCGATCCAGCGACATCGGCTGCGCCCGTTGTTTTCCGCTGCAAGAGCCCGGCATTCATCGTCTTGTCACGATTGGGCATCGCCGCCACGTCTCGTCACCGACATCACCCGTCGATCCTGGGCTCCATCACATGACGGTCACCAAGGCCGCTCATCACCGGACGGCTCTACGTGTTACAACCTAGAATGCGAATGCCGCGGCCGATGCCGGCAGACTGATTGTCAGTACAAAGCCAGCTGTCTTGCCCTTGCACCGTGTTCACAGCCCGTTGAGTGGACGAGGATTCTTCGGCATCACGACTCTGCCGCAAAGGCCAGCGATTGTCGCAATCGTCTCCAATCCAGAGTCCCACGTCGTCCTCTGTTCTCCCCATCTGCAAGCCTCCAGCGCCAAGAGGACCATTCTTTCTTCCATTGAGCTCTTGGAATTGGAGACGCTGTTCGAATCAAGTCCCTCGTCCAAACTCAAAAGCCACCCCCGTCGATCCAGCGACATCGGCTGCGCCCGTTGTTACCCGCTGCACGCGCCGCCATGGATGTTTGCATGATTTGACCCCCAACGCATGACCCTCAATGTATTGGCACAAGGTTCAGCCACTGTTACGTGCATGCGTCTGGTGTAACGGTTTCCGTCGTCGGGTGTTTGGCAAACCAACACGTCGGGCGCCCTCAGCCAACCAAGACGTACAGCCGCGACATGGGAAGCATCACCTCGGTGTTTATTTATTTATTCTTACACAAAGTCCTCTGGGGCCCGCATGAACAGGCATTTCCTTCCCTTCATCTCGCTTGGCCAGTCGAGAACCGGCAGGACGTCATTCACAGCTCATACCACCTACTTCTCCCTCCGCAGCCAACGACAAGGGCACGGAACGAACTCCAACACACATCGACAAGTATTCTCGAAACTTGGATACTCCGTACTGGTGGGTTAATTCAGCCCGACTCCACTCAAGCGTCTTGACTCGACTGCCTCGAGTCGCCATCTAGTTAGTACTCCGTATGCGCTCTTTTTCTCTGGCCAAGATTCATCCCCGTTTCCCAAAAGAGCCCGGGTACATTGTCAAATCCTTGGAGCATCCTCCTGCTGCGCCTCTCCCGCCCACATTTTCACCCACCACCCGGCTCTTTACACGACACGGCTACCAGCTCCTGGCGCCGTCTTCGTCGTTAAACACACAATTCAGCCATTGGTCTTTCGTTTCGGTTGTCTTTCGGCCAGGGTCAGACCTACGGGTTACCTACCTAACCCACAAAGACTGCCACCAGGACGCACCAAGACGAGAAACTAGTTTAAACAAAAACCGAGACAAAGCGGATACGCCTGTTCAAGCCTTATTCGCCACGGAGCACCGAGTACGGAGTCTGGTAGTTATTCGTCTAGTACTTGTCCTGTTCACCGCTGTCTGTTGCTTGGTTCCCCCCCCCTGTTCACACATACATACGATTCGAATCGGCGCAGGCCGCCCGCCTTGGTCCCTGGTGGTTTATAACTAGAGAGCATCTGGCTGCTCCTGCTGCTGGTGCTGGTGCCATTTTGTCCCCCTGTCATCGCGTTGCACGACCTTGCTGTGGCCGACGGGACACGACCGCCTCGATTTATTTCGGCTGCTGCATCGTCATAACACTTCTCATACCCTGTCGATGCCCTTGCAGACCGCAACTTTCAAAGCATCACCGCACCCTAGTGTCGTCTGCCGAAACCTACCTGGAGAAGACTGCAGGGCCGCGTCTGGATTTCATTGGACGAGACGCAAGGATTTTGGGGTATTGGGGTAAATATCTCGTTTTCTCGGGGCACTAGGCTTGGAATGAATAGTGTCGTTGCCTCAAATAACGTTGACCGTAATTCCAAAGCTCGTTCGACTTGTACTCCCCTTTTTCTCCTTGTTTCCGTTTATCCTTCTCTCTTCTTCTTTTTCTTTTTCTTCTTCGTCTTCAAGCCCTAGGCCAACTGGATTGGTTGACTGCTCCTACCCAAAACAGCTCTCGTGGACTGTCCGCTGCAACATCTTGACCCTCCTCGCCCGATATGAATCCCAGGTCCAGCTTTGCTGCGTCGGACACGACCTACCACAGCTTCCACGACATCGAGCTGCAAGAGCCGCCGTCTCCCCCCCGCTCAAGAGGTGCCACCGGCTCGGACCACGCAGCCGACGGCGTGAATCGGTCCAGCCAGCAGGCACCACCTCCCACGGCAGTGAAGATGCAGCGGCGGGACTCGGGGTACGAGTCGCACCAGTCTGGCTCGGCCCGAACCTCCATTTCCCACCCTCGGCCGGTCCCCCCGTCGCGGCGCATGTCAAGCGTGTCTTCGGCCGGCGGCGCGGCCACGACGACTCGGACCCGGACACGGCCGCCCACGCGCCCGTCTGCCAAGTCGTATCCCCAGTCCGCCACGCCGTCTCTGTACCCTCGCGGCAGCGGAGGCGCGCAACCACCACCGGGGTACTTCCAGTTCCCTGCCCCGGACCTGGTCGAGCTCGCCGAGACCGCGTCCCGCGCCGAGCCGTCGCCTCACCTGCCGCCGCCCACCACGCACTACTGGACAAGCGACAGCACCCGCCGGATAGAGTACGCCGCCATCGACGCCGCCAGCCGCGGTATCAAGGGGTGGATCAGGAGGCACCTCGTCCCGGACTGCTTCACGCCCAGACACGTGGCCTTTGACGACGACTCGGGCAGCGTGCGTCGCTACAGACTGGAGCTCGAAGAGGAACAAGACGAAAAGGTGTGCCCTCAAGCCAGAGATCGCCGCAAGGGCTGGCACTTTTTTTCTCTGCGGAAAAGCAGCACCATCTGATTGCTGGGGGGGCAGGCGTACCGTTGTCTTTTGGGCATCCTTGTTTCTTTTGTTAGCATTGCATCGGTTCTTTTTTTTTCTTCCTCGGCACGGGTGCATCTTGTGGCGTTTTATATACCCTCTTCCTTTTTTTTTTGGAACCGTAAATCTTGATAATGCTTTGGAGTCGCATCGGGAACGGGCGAATCGGTCTGCTGCGCAAAGATACAGAGAATGGCATATTACACGATATACAGGATCGGATGAAGACAGACGCATGTTATTACCTATGCATGCATGGCATTTATACCCCCATATAAAGACGCATATAGCATATCAATACAGACTATAATGACTTTTGGACATGTACCGAGTTCATATTGTTGACATGTTGGGTGGTGGCGTGCTCATTCAGACGTCTTGCTCGTGGCGTGTGCGACTTTCAACGATGGCTTTGCACCAGCCAATCCAGTTTATATACAGTGTACACCGATGGCAAGCAAACTACAATAAAATGAGCCACGGACAAGCTGTTCTCTACTACTCGGTCAGATTTATTGCCGGCATGGGGGGCATTCATCCGAGAATAAACATGCAAGTGGTTCAAGGACGCTGCGTCGTGCCTTGGCCCGGAGGGGCGCCGGAGTCGACCCACTTTTATCCCGAGTATCGGGGTGAAGATTCCGATTTGCTGGATTGCTAAGCTTCCTTCCGGCACTTTTGAAGATTGACCAGCAATTTTCATGCTAGGTAAACGGTTTTATATTTGACCCAAGAAATCACGCAGGATCAGGAGCCCGCTCCTTCGGTTCCAACGTTCCTGCAACTTCAACGTCAGCAAACTGATTACGGCACCCATTCCAACTCGTGCGACTACTGCAAAGAAAGTCGAACCGGCTCGTCTCCAGACTTGTTCCATCCTCATAACACCAAGCCTCACTCCCTCGGCTTTACCTTCGTCTTGAACCCAATCGGCCTGACGTTGAACCACCCATCCTTCTCCAACTTGTACTCGGGATCTGCCATGTCAAAATCAACCTTTTGCAGCATCATGGCTAAAACCAGCACGCTCCATTGCCAAGCGTGGTGCTTCCCGATACACTCCCTCTTCCCGTTACCAAACCACTTCCTGGCGCCCTCGGGCAACCGCTCGAATTGCTCGCCCATCATACGCTCCGGCTTGAAGGTCAGCGGGTCCTCGAAGACGGTCGGGTCGCGGTTGACTCCGGCCAAGACAAGAACCATTGGCTGGTTGTGGGCAACTTGATATTTGCCGCCGGCTAATTGAACGGGCGCTTTAGAGTCGCTAGGGATGGGCTCGATGTTGAAGCCAGGCGCAGGGGAGGACAGTCGCAGAGACTCGCGGACGATGGCTTGCACGTATTTCAGCTCATCCAGTTGCTCGATTGAGATGTCGCCTGCTCCTACAACAGCGTCAATTTCCCGTCTTGCGCGGCTCATCACGTCGGGGTTCCCCAAGAGTAGCAAGATGGCGGAAGTGACGAGGCATGGCGCCGTGCTGCTTCCAATGGGCATGGAGACAATCTCGTCAATGATTTGCGAGTCTGTCAACTTCTTCTTGGTTTCGGGGTCTTCGTTGTTCATCATTGCGGTGAGGACATCTTGGCGAGTGGTCGGGTTGTCCTTTCGACACTGAACGACGTCGGCTGCGTACCTCCGCATGGTCTGAATACTCTTGTTGAATTTGTTTCTGTACATGAGCCAGTTCACTAATGAGAGTCTCGTCGGCCGCATCATCGCCTCAGAGGTTGAATCCTCCATTGCTTTCAACATGGGGTGCTCTGGCCCTTCTAGGCAGTTCAGTTTTTGGCCGAACAAGGTCAAGGTGACAGTTTCGAGGTCGAGTCTTTGGAGGTCAGAAAGTGGTGAGATGACCGTGTTCGCTTCAAGTTTCCTCCATTTCTCAAAAAGCTCATCGGCCAGGTTGCGCATCTCTGTAAAATTTTGCTGCCTAAGAGCTTCCGGGGATAAGTGTGGTGCAATGATCCGGTGAGCAACCCCCCAGCTTGACTCGTTATCGAATGCGGTGAACAGAGCATCATGTACAGCCGCCCGGATTTCGACTATTGGCCCTCCAACATACTTCCTGAATCGCTTTTGATCACATAATTCTTCGGCGAGCGCCACGCTGCCCACAAACACAATTGTATGACCCAGAACTGTGATCTTGAAGATCTCTCCATACTCTTCAGAGAGCTTGTTCAGCGATGCCCACGTGTTGCTGGGAGTAATACTGAAGATATTACCCAGCAGAGGCACGCCTGGAGGTCGAGGAATAGGTTGCGGCATTGTTGATGGTTACACAAAGCTGGTGTAGGAAATACAAAGGTCACTTTGAGCAAAATTCTGGCTTATTGCTATGAAGACGCTGCCCGCTTTTTAAGTACGAAAGATGGACCAAGCTACATGCAGAAAGGGGGGAGAAGCCCGTCTGATCGTCATGGGAGGCAGGGCAGCCCAACGGCTCATCTGCAGCCACTGCCGAATCAGCATCTCTTCCCACACAATGAGCTCAATCGAGATGATCAGAGCCAGCCACATACTTCGACACTCTGGCCGGGAACCACGTCATTGCTTCTTCTTCCCCCCCTTGCCTGTTAGAACGCTGCGCTCAGTGGCTTGAAAGGGGGATTTAAGACATGCTCCAACCGAGTCGACCTCCCCGGTTACAGCAAATCGCCAGTGACGGAAAACAAGAGATGGCACAGCCATTGTCGAGGCCTGTCGGCACATTTCACGGGGCTTGCAGTAGCGGCCGTACAGAACCAGGGTCCAAGTGGTGATGTGCGAAATAACGGAGAACCAATTGGCTGGAGCATATTCAGCCCATCTCTCTTGGGAGCATCTGCAGTAGACTAATGCTGTGCCATCGCAAAAGCGACTGTTGTCCTTGGAACAGCATCCAGTGCGGTCGACGCTGGCCTTGCCCAATTTTGGTTTCTTTGCTTCTCCAGCTGCTCTGTTGCATTCTTCTTCGTGTCTGTGCAACTTGATTCAATTGTTGGCAGCGTCTGCAAAGCGCCCGTTTTCCTCCATCCGGGAGGCACAACGGCGCGAGATGCTTTAAGAATATTGGAAAAGGGAAATAACTGACAGCCAGATGACATGAGCGTTTGTCTCAATGGCACTCCCTCCACCAGTCTTTGCGACTCGGCCCAAAGCCGAGCGTGGGGGCCGGCCCTTGGTTGTCTGACATATTATTCGACTCACATTGCTTTCTTGGCTCCCCGGATCACGAGTTTCAGATAGCCACAGAAAAAAAGAAACACGGTAAATTCGTGGCCTACGTGTTTAGTCGCCGGCAAAACGAAAGCAGCACAAAGCAGGCCAAAACCCAATCTCCTCAAAGCAGGCCAAAACCCAATCTCCTCAAAGCAGGCCAAAACCCAATCTCCTCAAAGCAGGCCAAAACCCAATCTCCTGTACTCCGTGCCTGAAGAAGTTCAAGAGCTGCCCCGGAAGTGGGTCTTGCTTAGTCATCGTACACAATGCGGAAGTTGTCATCAACGCGCGCCGCGGGCCTCCTTACACGCTGTCTTCGGCGACAACCCCGGAATACTGCACCACCGCAACAAGCCCCCTGCTCCGTCACCACGACTGTCGCTCCTTAGCAGTATCGCCAATCGCTCCCCCTAGAACAACAGCAGTTCTTAGAAGTCCGCGAAGATACATACTTCCGCAGTCATGACGCGCGCTCAGCAGACAATTTCCCTAGGGCTCCTCGTCTCCTCCGTACGACTTTGATCCGCAATTACGATTTTACATGCGCAGAAAGGAGCCCGGTGCTAACTTTTCCCACTCACAGCTATATCTCGCCCTTTACTTGGAGTTGATTCCTCTTCCTTCTCTGGTCCAGCAGCAGATTGTCCCTGTCGTACGTCGCTTTTACCCCCCATAGCTCCGAGCCACATGGCTTTCAAACCCCGCTGACGTCTGCAACTTGAAGCTTCCATTCTGGGCCCTCGTATCCTTCGGCGCGCTGCTTCTTTTCCGTCTCGGCTGGGGCATCATGACGTTCAACGATGTTCCTGAGGCGCACCAGGAACTCATGAAGGAAATTGACCTGGCCAAGAGTGACCTCAGGAAGATGGGCGTCGACGTCGACTAAATGTTACAGTCAATCAAAATAAGGCTATCTCATAATGGGACGCGCTACGTGATAAGTAAAACACAGATGTGTGGTTCACAAAGACAAGAGATAAAACAACAAGGGGGGATTATAATAATGTGGATTGGTATCATTGGTAATAAAGCTACTTGTCCATCACGCCATCCGATATGTCTCGCTCAGAATCTTTTAAACGTGTCATGGTCATCATGTCTCATGAAATTACAGATTGATGTTTAGGCACCCGTCAGAAGCGCCACAATGGTTTGCACTGCTTTTCTTGGGGGTTGGCCGCTTTCGATCAAAACCTCGAATAGTTTGGCAAATTGACCAAACACTCCTCTTTCATCAGCTTGCCGCCCTGGAAGCATATTAGTGGATGGTCGTCTGTCCGAACAACAGTCTGAACACCTACATTTGCCAGGGATCCCAAGGAACAGTCCCATTTTGCTTTGTGCCTCCCCAGTCCAGTCGAGCTCGATCTTCCATTCCAACCGCACAGCCGATTCTGGGCCTTCTTCCGTAACCGTTGGGACTGGCACATCATACGATTGCTGGCCGAGAAAGCGAAAGAGATCTGCTTTGCTACATGTGTCCAAGTCGTCGTCCTGAGAGTTGTCCTCGCCCAGTCCGGGCTCCGATCGCATTCGTGATATCGCATCCAAGTAATCGCCCTTGGCGGCTAGACTCTGCTCCAACTGGAACCAAAAGCGAGCTCGCTGTACTGCCACGCGATACCACTCCCCCATTGCCCAAGATAGGATCCCAACATTATGCTGCATTGTTCTGTTGCAGTCTCCGGAGCATATCTTCTCAACAAACGGCCCGAGCTCTGGTCTTGCGCATGGCTCCAACGCGGGAACTTTGAGTGCCAGAATATTCAGATTCATCGCATTCACCACCATGTCGACTCTAGCCGTGAACAAGCCCGGTACATCTCGAGACCGTAGCGTGATTTGCCTCCGCTGCCGTAGAGGTTGATTTTGGGCTGAGGGTAGAACGGAAACCTGCGACGTGGCAGCGAAGGGAGTGAATAGTTGTAAAAATGGTAAATCGTCCGCAGCCGACATGGGAACAGGGTGGTGAGATTTGATGTTTGCTTCATCCGTCTCGGGACTTGCCTGATTTGACACCAATCTTGAAGGACCAAATGGCAGGATTCCCATGGGGTTTAGCGCTGCTTGTGTCATTTGGTGAGCAAGTCCTGGAGTAGGAGCAGTTCTCGTGGCGACCAACGTCTTTTGCACCAGATTTAAAACGTCCTCTTCATTCTCAGGAGCCACAATCCGGCCAGCTCGCTGCATAACCCGGATGCGCTCGTTTTCCCGGGCCGCAAGTTCGATTTCTCTCCTCAAAACTGCAATCTCCCTGCGCAGGCGGTTTCTCTCCTTCAATTTGTGAATATTCTTATCAGATGCAGGGACTTGGCGAGCGGCGTTCGTGTTAGCATTCAAGCTTCGGTCCTGCAGCGGCAGCTCCCTCTGCATAGCAGAGCCAGCCGGACTCATCGAGACGCCAGCCCTCCTGGCCGGGGTGCTCACGCCGCGCGGCTTCAACGGTGAGCTTTTCATGGGCGAATTCTTTTTCTGCCTGTCTCGGTCTCTCCATCTAGGGCTGCTATGGATGCCTCGCGGAGGCGTTGAAGATACAGGATCTGGGACGGCTGGTGGGAGCTCTGGTTCCGGGGGAGGGGGTATGGGTACCCCGGTAATGGGCTCTCGTCTCTGCATCCGTCCAAGAAAAGGATTTAGTTCATCGTCGCCTTCTGGCGCGGGGGGAGGGAATGGTCTCGAGCTTGGTCTTATGGGTGTTCGTCGTGGTGGCCCTGTCAGCCCAGCCTGGGAGCTCGTCGCTGGTCGTGGTGTACCTCGAGTTTGTCTTGCTGTATCTTCCGGTTGATTGGATTCGCTCGCTCCGATGTTACCCGCTGCTTCTGGCGGTGGCCGGGCAGCAGCGGGCGTCGGATTGCTGGGTGCCGAGGCTGTGGTTGTGACTTTTGGCGGCGATAGGAAAGCTGAACGGCGTCGTTCCAATATTTGCGGGTTGTAGCGCGAAAGGCTTGCTCGAGTGGGTGATGCAAAGGATGGTCTAGGTTGTCGATTTGGAGACTGTGACGTTGTTGTAGCTGGAAGGTTGGTTGGTGCTTGAGCTGCAGGTGTTGATGCTGCTGTTGGTGCCTCGGGGTCTGGAGAAACGCGTCTTCGTTTGGGCGCAGACTCTTCCATGTTCGTGGAAGAGCTCACCGTACGGTATGGGGCATGAGCATGGTCAAACGACCTCCCACTCTCGGAAATATGTACAGGTCAGAAACGTCTGCCTTACAAGCAAGCAACCTTTCGTGATGGTTGGAGACAAAACCGTAGCAACTGACAGATCGCGTTGCCCCCAAACAAACTCGAACGGCCAGCCCAGGATAGTGGATTCAGTGGTTGGCGCCGAATCCTGGTCGGAGGCTCTACTATCAATGTGTGCTAGTTCAAGCAATTGTGGGGCCGGATTTCATCGTTCGACATTGAGATCAAATTGCCGTCGGTCCACTTGACAGTTCACACCAGACGCGACTCTTACAATTCAATGTTCTTACACGCATCCATCATGGGCCCTTTTCCATTGGGGCACCACGACTAGTACTCACAAAAGATAGATGCTGCTCTACAACAGGTTACATCCAATTTTAATCAGACTACCCTGCCATTACGTACTTGCATCACACCGTTTGACATCTAGGGGCTCCATCTCCGAGGTTTGGCTTGATGGTCTGTCATATCTTCCGCTGTCGACATGCATACGATTGCCTCTCACTTCCAGTCATAATTCCATATTTGACCTTGAACGACCCGGTTTTGGTCATTAAGATGGTGCATGCGGCCATACACCACGTGGCCTATTGTGAATCAACTTTACAGATAGGCTAAGGTGAGACCAGCAATGAGAATCCCAATAGCTTGCTCAGTGTGTCGGTAAGTGCATTGCCCCGAAGATGAGGAGAATTGTGCAATAACAGGCATAGGTCTCGCCGGCGGAAATGCAAAGTCCCTCCGGTCATTATCGATGTCTATTATGCGAGGCCCAGAGTCTCGGTTGCTCAAGGGCCGGGGCTTTCGCAGCGTCAACTCGGTCACTACCAATCCTGACGGAGCGGTCAAAGACCGTGGAACCTGTTTTAAAGAGCGAGCCCATCGTTGCTCCTATTATTTGGGATGGAAATGTACGCGTCGAGCTTGCAGAATTGTACGTTACGTGCATCCATGACCAGTTCCACTCGTTGTTCCATAGGCCGAGCTTTATGCAAGATCTCCGACACGGAAAGACGCCAAAGGCGATCGTATATGCCACGATGGCCCTGTCGGCAGGGCACTTCTCCGTTTCAACTCCGAGAACCTTAGAAGTCAACGTACTAGTAACCTCAGTTCAGATTCTCGGCAAACCCCGTGTGTGCTAAGACGCCGCCCACGCACAGAGCCGAGCGCTACGCTAGAGAGAGCCAGCATTGCTAAATCTTCGAGACATCTCAGTATCAACTATTCAAGCCTGTGTCCTTCTCGGCCCTGTGAGTATCAGTGATGGTGGGGCAGCAGCAGCTGTTTTCTACTCCGCGGCTTGCAGAATCGCAAACTATCTCGACCTGCCGACTCTCTCTTCGCCCAGTCCTATTATGCGCGACGTCCACTTTCGAGGTACAATGTTCTCCAAGCCCCTCACAGGTTTCTCAAACTAATCGTCTCAGTATACTGGACTCTCTGCAGGATCGATGTCTGGTCCTCAGATGGCATGAACCTACAACGGCAGATGGCACTGCGCAAGGATGTGCCTTTGCCCATGGATGAGGAGACATTCCTCAATCTAAGCCCTCAAAGTCCCGGCACTGTGGACATGATCGCGAACCCTGATCGAAACAACTCTCTCTTAGCACAGATGATCAAACTCAACAGCATTCTCATCGAGGCCAACGACTACATGAAAGACATTACAACTACGCAGCCCGCACCAGTCTCCAAAGACCGCGTTGCCGGCTTGTCCTTGAAGCTGGACAATTGGCTAGCAGCCCTTCCTAATCACATGCATGACACTGCTGAACCTACAAGCCCTTTCGATCAAGGGCCTCGGCCGCATCTTTGTTGCTATTTATCTCGGCTATTATCACTATGAAAAGCTCCTATTTTATCAATTTCTCGACGAGCAGCAACGCGTGCTGCCAAGCTCCTCCCCAGTACAAGAGGGCGTGACAAAATGCAAATACTACGCAACGCACCTTTCCCGAATAGCCGACGCTGCCATGGCCACGCCTGGCTGTGACGTGAAGTACACCATGGTCGATCACATCACTGTTACCGCTTCGTCGATTCACATCCATACGCCATCGTTTGAAACAGATGAAAAGCAGATTTGTGAAGCAAGGGACCAGCTTGAAGGGAATTTCAACCATCTTCTCGGACTCGAAATACTGGGTTGCACTGGAAGTTTGCTTTCCACGACAAAAGACTTGGATACCAGCTATCGCATGGATAGGTAGATGCTGCGATTCTTGACGGAGTTTGCTCAACCAATCGAGGCGAAAGAGCGGCGGTGTGGTGAGAATACTGATGTTGGTTTTGATACATGGATTAGAGACAGCATTTCTTAGTCAAATAACTGGGATGGCATTACTAAATAATAATCTACGTCCCCCATCTTCAGGAGTCTGCAATAAACAAGCTGAGCATTTTCTATAGATACCTTCTTCCTACCATTGATGCTACCTAGTTGATGTTTTCACGCTACATCTCATCACTTGTGATGATAGACTACCCCTTGACACTGCTATACTGTCTTCTCAGCCTAAACGCAACAACCCCATGACTTGGAATCTTGGCCCTAAGTTCTAACCCACCCTCAACCCTGACCATGCCAATTTTCACATCAAAAGACTTTCCATCGTCTGGTGCATTAGAGCCCTCGAGTCCTTCTGCGACAAAAATCTGATACAAAAGCCCGCGCCACATTTCGGTCTTCATCTGCGGCGTCGAGGAAACACAGCAACCCTGTAATTCCAAAAGGCTGAATCTGTGGCCCCCCATGCTGGCAGGCCAATGGTTCCACTGCATGACCACCAGACGACATCGGCACGCCGGTTGCAAAAAAGGCCGCACACCCCGCACCCACAACCACACACACAGGTGTGCGGCCTTTTTGCAACCGGCGTGATCGGGTTCCAACTCCAGGCACCATCACGTGCTGCAACGCCGGTTCGGCAGCCAATGCAACGCCCTGCACGGCCGAATGACGTTTTCCGACGCCTTGCCGCCGAACCCGCATTTTTGCCCCTCGAGACCAAAAACAGAGAAAACAAAAAAGCGTCAACCAACCTCTTCCGGCCCGGCGCATCATTCCTTCCCCAGCATGACATGCTCACAGATTTCCAAACCCCCAGAGTAATCATCTTCTTCTTTAATCCAGAATGCCGGCCCCGGCGAGAACGGCCGTCTCGCAGCTGCGCCTGGTCCCGCGCATAGCCGCCCCGGCCAGAAGCTTCGCGACGTCAACCGCCAGCGCCAAAGACGAGCAGTGGCCGCAACGAACACCCCTGGGCGCCTACTACACCAGCATATTGCGCGACCCTATCCCCTACCCGTTCGCCCACAAGCCCGAGGAGCCGCCCAGCACCGCGGATCCCAGCGTCCTGCCGCCGCACAGGCGGCCGACGACGCCGGCACGCGGGCGCAAACCCAGGGCTCGAAGCACCGCCGGCGCCCCCTCGTCACCGCCCGAGCCGACTCCGCCTCCGCAGACGGCGCAGGACAAGGCCCGCATCATATTCGGATCGCGGCTCCTCGGCCCGGCAGAGGAGGCGGGCAGGTTGGCCTTGAAGCAGGCCAAGTCGACGTACATAGCGGGTGTCTTGGTGCCCCCGCGGCCAGAGGAGCCGGATAACTGCTGCATGAGCGGGTGCGTCAATTGCGTCTGGGAGCGGTATCGAGAGGACATGGAGGAGTGGACGGCGAGTAGGAAGGAGGCCGAGAGACGGCTCAAAGCCTCCGGCAGGACGGTGGATGCTGAAGGCGGAGGGTCCGAGACGAATTGGAATGCGCCGGCGGTTGGCAACGGTAAGATCGCCAAGGATATGTGGGACGAGGAGGTCTACCAGAGCGTACCGGTTGGCATCAGGGAGTTTATGAAACAGGAGAAGAGGCTGAAGGAGAGGCATGCGCGGGAGGGTACCGTTGGCGGTTGAAGCAGTTTCTTGGACGGGCCGACTACCGGCTGCATACGTGTTGGGAGGGATATTCGGGGCAAGGGCACATGAACGGCGTTATACATGGCATGATGGGCGTATTCCAGTATTTCCTACCACATAGCATCATACATTGCAGAGCGTATATACATATACCGATCTGTATATACATATATATATATATATATATTTAATTTTTTTTACTTCCTATATTCATTCAGAAACCCGGCTTCTAATCTATTTTGGTCCAAGAAAAAAATTAAAAAAGGGAGAATTTGTTGATTTAAGCCCCGCGCTTGGCCTCGGCATTTCTGTCGTGCTCATCAATATCTATCGCCTCCCAAGGATAGTTGATCCAGGCATCACCAACGGTGACGGCAGCCTCGTATCGAGTGGCAATCATGTCGTGGGGCAGAACGCCCTTCTTGGGCTTGTCCTTGTTCTACCACAACCAAGCCTGTCAGCGCACAACCACCAACAACTGATGGCAAAGTAAAGATTCGAGGGCACGTACGTGGAGAACAAAGATGCAAAACTCCGTCTTGGGATGGTCACCACCCATGCGCTGACGAGCCGCCTCGACATCCTTCTCGAGCTCCTTGACAGCGTATTCCAGGGTCGTCCGGGTGTCATCGACCTCGTCGACAATGAGGATGCGCTTGCCAACCAGGTTCTCCATCTGGCCCAGGGCAGTGAGGTCGAGCCACTGGGTACGGGTGACCTTCTTGCCGATCTGCTCGACCTCGGTATCCTCACCGAGGGACTCGTACAGAGACAGGCCAATGGCCTGGATGGGAATGTTGGGAGACCCGGGCTTCTTGAGGAAAGATCGCAGGATCCGGGCGGGAATGTAGCCACCGCCGCCGATGGCAATCATGAGCTGCGGCTGGAACTCGCGCAGAAGACGGTCGGCCGACTTCTGGCACAGCTTGTGGACCTGGGCGCAACATGATCAGTTAGCTTGCCGCAGGCCAGCATTGCATGTCTGTTACTCGGTCGCTACGCTTTTCATACGGTCGTTGCGACACTTGCGATACACAAATGAACAGCCCTTTCGTCATTTTTCAGTCACACTTACATCGTTGTAGGTAACGTAGATCTTCTCGACGTCACTCATTGTGGCTTTTGGTCAAGGGACTGGGTGAGAGAGCAAAAAAAAAAAGTGTGGTGGGGGGTATCACGAAAATGGGTTGTCGAAGAGAGCAAGGGGAAGTTGAGCAACAGAAGTCGGATCACAGCGTCGGACGAGATGAGGCCTACGAGCCTGATGGGAGTGGATGAGGCAAAGTGCCCGAGAGGGGAGAGAAAGGAAAGGGAGGAAGGGGAGGATGGCGATGTCGCGCGTCTTGGGAAGTAGCTTTTATACATCAGGACTCGGGATTTGCTAGGCTGCCTGCTCCAGGTGGCCGCGGGGCTCAGTGCTGCCCAGCGCCACCAACCAACCAGGCCAGTTGACTTCAGATTCAACGTCAGCGTGACGGCTAACGTCAAGTCAGCATTTTACCAGACCTCTATACTTACGAAGCTCTCCTTGACACGTCCACGTACCTGACCAGCCAACACTGGCCGAAAGCCATGCATTCGATGTCGCCCCGCCAGCTCACAAAAGTTGCCCCTCCATTCAATCAATTGATACTCCGTCACTGTGGAGCCCTGCATAACGCCTTTTTTCTTTTTTATCCTTCAACGCCGGCCAGCTCGCCAAGTCGAACGGCCCTGTTCTACCTCATTTCGGAGGTGTCCGATAATTCCGTACCCAAAGCAGGCATTGGACCGCTCGTAGTGGAATCAGCTGTCCAAACCCAGACCGGCAGAGCAGACCTTTCAGACATGGGCACATTGGTGAATTCTAGCGGCAGGTGATTTCACATCTTGTGCTGCCACCGGCAGTCACAGTCCATGCAGCCGGTGTGAATGCCCCTTGACGATGGAATGGGTTCCTAGTGTGCTGCAGTTACATCGGCAGCATGACAGAGAACATGAAGAGACTTTCATATGCTGTCATGTAGCGCGTTCAAATTACTACAGAAGAAAAGCTGACCAGACATCTGGACATCTGGAGCTTTTGCTATCGCCCAAGTGCACCCAGTGACCTCTAAGATTCTCCGCACATGTGACACAAATATCCCGCGTAAAGATCAGACGTACGTAATTAAAGTTTAAGCACAAGTATAAAAAGCACCAAATGCAACATCTGTTTTTTTACAAGGAAACTATTGTTTATGATGAAAGGTTACATTGTAGTGCAGAGTGGTTCGGCAGTCTCCGTCCTCTGGATGCAAGTCGATTGGATACTTGCATCTGCATCCATCTTGGGACGTCTGTGCCCAGTAAGAAGGGGGAATGCTTAGGCTACATCACAATACATGCATGCATCTTAACATTAAAGTGTGAATAAAATGCCCGTTGCAGCCTTCGAGGATTGAAGCCAACGAGACCTAGGGGGTAAAAAATCCCACAGCCGATTTCAACAAGCCAGCTCTTCTTGCTATAGATGCCAGCCGGGCTTCCTTTTTAATATCGGCTGTGATGTCTTTTGGCCCACTAGGTCTCGTCAGCTTTAATCCTAAAAGGTTGCAACGGGCAATTTATTTGCAAGCTGTGGCATTGTGTAGTAAATGTGCCGTGTGGCGAATCTGACACGGTTTTGGCCCATGTCAGCAAGTGTGACAAGGGCAGGTTAACTGGGCTTGGAACAGAGGGTTCAGTTCAATCTCAATAATCGACTTTGAGGTATCAAATGTCCTTGGTTTTCCACGAGGCCTGGAGGGACCGAAGATCTATATATATATATACAAGAAGTCGGTGAGCCTTGTGCCCTAGGGTCTCGATCGTAGCCCTCGTGTAACCGTGTGACATCAATTTGCTGGATTCTGACGCATCGCGATGCCTTTGCGGTATTACATTTGTATCATAGTTCTTTGGTTTAGGGTTACAGGCGCACGGTGCTTTATTTGTTGGGCCTTGCCTAGTGCGGTGCCTGCATGAGTAGTGGAATAGCTTAATAAAAAAACTTTAATGCATCATACATAAAGTGTGAATGCTCCGATGATGAAAAATAAATACCCTTCCAGGGAAGGAAGGTCAAAAAAACAAGCTGACAGAACGGGGATTCGAACCCCGGCCACTTTCGTGAACGGAACGCTGCTTTTCGCAGGCGAAAGTACATATACTGTGCTTGAGACCGTCGCCATAGACCACTCGGCCATTCTGCCTTAAGCGCTTGTGGGAGACAAGCTCCCTGTTGCATACTATACACCCTCATTGCCGTGTGAGTCGCACCTTTTTCCAGGCGAGTGAAACTTGCCGTTAGGCTATCATTGTGAGTTTATTAGGATCCGTGGTTTATTTTGTCAGTGAAAGAGCTCCTACCTGGTGTTTCGTTTTCTGTGAAGTCGCTTTTCAATCGGCATTGAGGACTCTTTGATGAAGCAGGGGCTGAACCTTACATTGCAACCCAACATTGAGCACGAGAAGCATATTTCCCTATTGTAGCACGGGTAAGTTACCTACCTACCTAGGTAGGTAGGTAGGTACCCAACATAAACCCAGGCTGACACGAACTAGTGCGAATTAGTACAATATAGGGTCAAAATGCAGAGTTGGATTCGCAAAGGCATCATCCCCAATAGACGTCGATTTCGCAGCCCTCATTTATGGTGATAAGATTGCGCAACCGTGCACAGGGTAGGTCGTAGAGCAGAGCAGAGCAGCACCGGGGTGTAATATTGCGGGCCAGCTCCAATGGCCCAAGACTCCAAAGACGAAAGTATCAAGCAAGATTGAATTTGTTCAACTTGAACGTCATGACCATGTTCATGCCAAACTCGGGAGCCATGACCCGACACACAAGTCGATTGGCAGGCGAAGCACGTCAATACGATGCCCAAACCTCCCCACGTCCCCTCAACTCCAACCCGAAAAGCCTCAACCATCCAGCCACCAAACCACAGCCGCCCTCGCAAACCCAAACAGTCCGACCCCAAGCATCATGACGGCAGTGCCCGCCGCCGCCCCAACAACCGCACGACTCCCCAGCTCGAGCGCCCACCAAACCACGCAGAACCCAGCAGCACCAGCCACCACCAACACGACAGCCTGGACGCCCAGAAACACCCCGTCAGACAGCCCATTGGCCTCGTAGGCCAGAATCGCGGCCGCGGCAAAGAGACCGAGACCCCCCAGAGCCGGCTGGAAGTACACCCACAGCCTACGAGAAAAGCCCCATTAGCACACCCAGCCAGACAAGGCTCAAGACGCGGAAAAAGGATGAATATACTTGTGCCAAAACCCCGAATCGGCCGCGGCCTCGCGGACCGCAACGTCCACCCACACGCAAAACAAGCCCATGAACGCGACAAACTGCGCCGCCAGCACCGTCGCATGCACAACCCCCTTCCTGACGGGCCCGTCGTCGCAGTGACACCCTGCGGCTTCGCTTTTGCCCTGCTCGCGTCTTGAGTCGCACGTCTCCCGGCGTTCCCTGTCCGAGTTGCTCATCCATGGCGGGAACGGCGTCAACGGCAGTCTGGCGACTGCATCTTCGGAGAACACCGACAGACACGTCTCTCTCGCGTTGCCGCCGGGCGACTCGTCGCGGATGTGAATCAGCGGCACCCTGGGCGCGGATGGGCCCGCCTGCTCCTCCTGGCTTGTAAGTGAGCGTATGCTCGAGGATGGCCAGGGGTGTGTGAAGGCGGGCAGGGCTTCCGCTCGCGGCGCATAGCTTTTGGGGAGGGAGAAGGAGTCGCTTGGCGGAGGGGAGAAGGACACGTACTGTCGTGAGGGGCGGCGAGATTGTAGAAGCGGCGTGAGGAGGTCTTCTTCCTCGTCGTCCCGGGGGAGTCTGGGACTTTGTCGGATTGCAAGGGGACTCGGCACAAGGGGCGTGTCTTCCATTGCTGCATGTTGCCATTTGAGCTCACTCACGAGCCGGGAGGGAGAGACGAACGGAACAGCAAACTAGGCGAAGTTTGATGCGGACGGAGAGTGGCAAACAGGGAGAAATGGGGGGCCAAGACTGGCATAATGCTCAGATTTCTCGTACAGTCAGTCATCTACCTATTGTCCTACATAGCGGCTCGCACATTCACTGTGCGCCGCAAAAAGAATCCCTCCCAGTTCACGTCCTGCCCATATTCTCTTACAGCCGTTAATATTCGTTACATGTGTCAAGGAAACAACCTGGGTTGGATATCACCTACGCTCTCTTCTTCCACCGTCACCAACGATGCAACAGCTCATTATTCCAAATTCATGTGTGCTTCATCCCCAATACCCCATCGGCCACCGTCCTTGCCTTGCTTTTGTAATTCCAACTCCGTTTCCAAATCTAGCCCGCTGGCATCATCGTCGGGTACTGGCTCGGCAATGTTCCTCGATGGACCCTTTTCTGCCAATGTACTCGGCTTCTCCACCGTCCGTCTCCTGAATGATGAGGGCCAGAATGATGATTTGGAAGATGTGGAGAAAATTGATGCACCGTCGTCATCGTTGCCAGGTTGGTCACCGGCCGTGGGGTGCGGCTCGGCACGAACTGGTACCATTTTCTCATCAGAAGTAGAGTAGCCCTTCTTGTAGCCCTTCTTTGGTGACTTGGAGGTACCGTCCTGGCCTGGTGCGGGTTGTACAGGTTGTACGGGCTGCTCTGATTCATCGACTTCAACGAGCTCAGCATCTCGGTACCACTTCCGTCGTCGAGTCCACTTTGCCCAGCCGTCCTGACCTCGTCGACCATATTGCCACTACCGCGCTGTTAGTAGGCGTCCCAAGACTTTGGAGCCCCTGAATCTGTTTCCTTGTCCCTGATCAACTCACCTTATTGTCATAGTATATCCAGCCATTCTTGCCCTCCTCGCCATCATAGTCGACAGGTCCATTCTCATCAGGCACACCATCCACTCTCCACTGACTGCCCTCGACCCATTGCCAACGCATCCTGCTCCCGTCCTCGACGTCGGGCAGCTCAAACTCATCCCTAGACGGCACCGGGTTGTTGTGCTCATCAGTCCACGCAGGGCGTTCGTAGGCAAAGAGACTCGCTGTCCAACCCAACCCAACCCAACGACGCTGATTTTCGTAAATGATGAATGTGAACTTGACGCCAGAGCTTTTGCTGCGCCCAGCCTTGCGGTTCCCTTTGCCGGCAGCGGCGGCGTGGCTCTTGGCCGCTTCGGCAGCCAGCTTGTGTCCGGTCTTGAGAGGCCCGTCGAAACGAAGCCCAGTGATTGCTGCTGCGGACCGTCTGACAAGTGAGCTCCTCCACAAAAGAGTTCTGGTAACCCTCAAGGTAGTTGAATGCCAAGTCAATATAATTGTGCCAAACACCAAAACAACACGACGAGTAGTGATGACGTGGAAAGGTGGCATTGTCAAGGCGAGCCAGAAAGGAGTTACAATAAGAAGTCTCACAAACATGGCTGTCAAGGCGGGTTTCGTGGTTGCACTCGTGGGGGTTCGTTGTGTGCTGAGAAAGTCTGTCATTTCCAGCAACGGCTCCATCAAAACGTTGCATCGGCCGGTAAACTCCTTTAGCGTCTCGACGATCTCGTCAAGCGTTTTCTGGTGTTTGGTGCTTGTAATTTCAGACGCAGCCCTTTGGTGCTTAGCCTTTTTGGAGCTGGCACCTTCGCCATGAGACCCGGCAGCCGAAGCGGTGCTGACACTAGACGCATCCTTAGTTGGTCGAGCCGGCTCAGCCCAGCCGCTGCTGCTTAATGGGCTGTATCTTCGTCCATACATGCCGGCGATAATGACCAGGCCGATAACCACGGGGCCGGCTCTTCGCACCACGACATCTCCATATAGCACTACCAGCCAAAAGGCTGACAGCAGCAGAAAGCTCTGCCACGGATCACCGGTGCTCCATGTCAACAGGCCAACGAACTTGTTCAGCGGCAGCAGAAAGGGGTGACTGTAAGCGAGAGCACGGGTGACTTGCGGTGGAGTGGCCAGCAACAGCGGACTCTTTTGATGAACTAGGATATTCGAACGGCGAGCAGATCGCGAAGGCGTCTTGGAGGACAGGGTGACGGGGGAGAAGGAGGCGTAGGTCGGCGGCAGCCCGGTCGCGTTCTGCGACTCATATGTTGAGGCCGAAGAGGCGTCGTCGCGTGAAGACATGGGCAGGTCTAGGTGCGATAGCCACGGAGACTCCTAACGAACTCGCAAAGCGTTGTTGTCAGCAGCTGCCAGCGATAGGAAAACCGACAAAGTGCCCACTCGAGGACTGGGACATGTGCGCGATGCACCCAACGGTGTCTTGCTGCGTCTGTGAAGGTCGTGTGTACTGATAGAATAGACAGTGACTGGTGGTTGATACGGACTCGGCAGCGGAGTGGTGCGCGGCGGTGACGTGAAGGTCAAAGGTCAGGGCGTCAGGCGACGGCAGCAAATGCCGAAGTTGAGAGGCGAAATTTGATGCACAGGTTCGAGGTCGTGACATCACATGCCAAAAGCCCCACGACGACCAAGTGCGTTGGCCACACACTGCCGCATCGACAGCAATGCAGAGATGGGGGGAGGGAAAGAAAAAAAAAAGAAGAGTCTGAGGGCAGATCGGAGGCCGGGACATGTTCTAACAGGAGAATAGGAGAAAGAGACCGAATAAAGTGAAACTCACAATTGCAGCCATTTAAGAGCTGTGGTGGCGACGGCGACACGGTTGGACCGAGATTCCCAAGCGTCATCAGCCTGAAGAGTCGAGACGGCGGGTTCGCAGCGAGGCCTTGCGAGAAGCCCGATGAGTAGGAGTGAAGGCGAGAAGAAGACGAGGACGGGGCGAATGAACTATTGTCGCATGTCCTCGTTGCCTGAGCTAGGAGCTTGGAAGGAAGGTCATGGACAATACAGCCTTGCCACGAGGTCCCCAGTCCTCAGTTCGTGATGAAGCTTCCACGCAGCCCATCCCTAAGCGATATGATAACGGACGGAATCTGGGGCGCAGCCGAGGCCAAACGTGCGCGAAGGCACATGTGAGGCGGCTTCCATTGTTGTCCGTCGTTTCATTGGCCAGCACCAGTTGTACTCGCAAGTACTTCAATGCTGCTCGAACAGAATGCGAACGGGCACTCGGTGCAATCGGTGCCATCGGCGCAACCAGATGCGGCGTCGACCACCCGGGCAGCGCACTCTTGTGCACTGCTTCAAATCGACTGTCCTGCATCTCCGGGACGGGAAATTAAATGTCAAGTACTCCGTACGGAGTATGCTTTGCGTCTGCCGGCCTGGTCTGCTCGGTCCCCGGAGCCATCAGACCGCCACAGCCAGGGTCTCCCAGCCCCGGATCTCAAGTACCAGACTGTACCTGCACCATACACGAACCAACAATCAATCAAATAAATACAAAGGAAATTTTATTCGAGAGATGGGCTAGCGGTTAACTAACTGCCGCGGTATATAACATGACTGCGTCAACATCCACTGTGCAAAAGGAAATCATTTTCATAAACCATATCGCCGTCAAAGTTGCCCCAACCCAGCCATGAGAAACATTGGCCGTTGCGTCCATCCAAACTCTTTTTTTTCCAATAGCGCGTATCATTTTATTTCCATTGAATAAGGGAAAAAATCATCAATCAATTATTCCAATTTTTTTTGTCGGTCATTTTCGTGTTTTCGTATTTTCGTATTTTTTTCTTATTTCATGTATTTAATATTTGCACCCACCACGAGTAGTGCTACTCAAAGCCCCCCCGGGCGAGAATGTTGTTTGACTCAACAACATGATATAAGAGGGCGACCAGCTGTAACTACAATCACAGTGATCGGCCGCATGAGGTGCAGGAGCCTATAGTTGAAACGTCAGTAACCCATGTTCCTCTTATACATTTGCAAGTTGGGGGTTAAAAAAAAACATACAGCTTGAGCCGCAGTTGCAGGAGCTAGCAGAGCCAGAGCAGCCACAGTTACCAGCCATTGTGATATGTGTTATAAAGGTATAAAACCTTGAAAATTGCAGAAAAAAGTTTGTAAAGGTTGTCTTTCTTTTCGAAATAAATATCTACTTGGAGAAGAAGGAAGAGAGACCCTTCAGGCTCTGGTGGATGGGCGAGCGTCTTATATAGACTAGGATGCGCGGTTTGTGCGGTGGCGGCAGATGAGAAAAACTGCCACCCTTGAGCATCAATGCCAGACTCGAGCAGTGGGGAAGAAAAACATCATGCTGGACTCAATCAACTCGTGAGACTTGCCGTCAATGCTTTGGGCCGTCTCTGGGGGTTGTGAGCTGTGGGGGACTCGGATCGACCAACAAAGCAGCTCCCAGTCGAGGCCATCACCGTTCACTGCTCCAACAATCACCACATCAGCCAACCATCAATTAATCTCTGGAATGTGGCTGGAGTGGACACTTCCGGTGGGAATCTCAGTGGGCAACAGCTGCGGCAATGGCATCGACTGATTTGCTGGGCGAGCAGACTCACTGCAAGGTTGCTGTGGACGATTTTCCATCAGCCACCCGCGTTTGGCGTCGTCTTTGTCCTTGTCCTTTGCCAAAACGCTCTCCAAAGCCGGGCGGTTTTCGCGCTTGCCGTCGAGCTGGTGTATCTTGCTTTACCACTTCTGGGTTGAGTCCAGCCCTCCAGCACTCTACCATCCCCAAATGTCCCGATATGTACGTCTGCACTCTCGGTAAACTGCAGTATCCCGCATACCGAGTATGTACATATGTAGACCAGTCGTAACCACCAGAAAGGATGGCACCCAGGGCGGTCCCTGCAGATGGTTCGTCTCGATTCCATCTGTTATTACCAGGTCGGCGGCTTTCGGAAAGACAGGGAGGTCATGGCCTTGACCGCTCATCTTGCCCCATCCACTGTCAGAGGCCAAGAGCACAGCTCCATATGACCACAATCAATCTGCATAATCTAGCTTGCCACTGTGCGTTGTTTGCGTTGGCGCTAAGATGCCCCGTTCCCTGGTTGCGTGCGTGGCAAGATCCCAAAGACCTCGCTTGACCCATGTATCCGAAGAAGGGAGAAGCTTCTTGTCCCAGAGCTTGTTCCACCACGAGTGCCATCTGGTGGTATCCCTATTGTAACGCCGGTCATGCCGTGCCGTACCAGGGACATGGACGGACGTCACAATGAAGACCATACGGGCTTAATAATCACCAAGTCGTGATACGTTGATGCCAATGTCGTGGAAAGTACACCACTCACATCCCTACGACGGTGTCAAATGAGTAGCTCCTTTAGATCCATCTATCCTCTACGGCTGGTATATCTTGACTCAATGAATAACAGCCCTAGCTGCATCCTTTCTGAGTAGGAACCAGTTCTCTATGAGTTGATCCAATACATCCTTACCCCCTTAGAACTTGTACCCCTCCCTCCGGTGTCAATCAGCTCTATTTCACCCCCGGTTCTGGATATGTATGCGGGGTACCTGTCGGCGGCCGTTTGCCACATTATGTTGTAGCAGGTTAACACGCAAAACGGAACGGTTGCGCGATATAGCGACCAGTGGCGCTTAACGTCAAGAACAGGATCATGACCAGAGATACCTAGTGACGGAGCTAGATTTACAGTTATGCAATAAGAACAGACGACTCACTCAGCGAGATGCTATATACGCCCTTTACAACCGAAAGATGAAACAAAAAGGGCGAGAGAGCTCTTTGGTATCAGTATTTTGGACGATAACTCTTCATCTTTTGTCACAGTACATGTACACAGTGCCATTTGAAGCATTTATAGACACACGCCAGCTTCCGTGGCCCTTTGTTTTACATCTTCCCTGAAATCCAATCCCTTTCCTTGTTCTTTGACATGCCTGCCGTGCCGGTGACAGGCAAGCCACGCTTCGTCAACTCCTCCTCAATCACCTTCCATCGACCCAAGGCGGTCTCCTTCTCGATAGGTCCAATCTTGCGGTTGTGAACTTTGACATTGGCGAGTTCCTGAAGGTCGCTTCGTGTCTCCAGCAGTTCAGCCAGCTTCTTAGGCTGGGGTTTCTTGGCAGCAAGAGTCAAGACGTGCTTGACAGTGTGCGCAGCGCCAAGCTTGGCATCGGCGATGAGGGTGCCCGTGAGCTGGTAAAGACGCTTGCGAAGCTATAAACTAGTTAGAACATGGCTGAGTCGGTGAATGTTGGAATAGGAATAGCACATACAGCGAATTTGAGTTGGTCATCCAGGACGAGGTCCTTCCATGACGCGTCCCACGTCTTGAGCATCTCGCGAGCCTCCTCGGGATGAATCTTCTCAATTGCCTCCGTCTCATCGGCCTCGGCGGTGAGACTCCGTGCAATGGCAGCCACATCTCCCTTCAACGAAGGCTGGCTCCCTTGCACCTGAATCTCTGCGGCCAGCACCTGGTCCAGCTCGCTGCGAGGTCCCTCTCGCCACTTCTTCGTCGCCCAGTCTGAAAAGGCGCCAGTCTCTCGAAGAGCAAGAGCCTCAACAACGGCCTGTCGCAAGTAAACCTCGACAACATCCTTGTCCACCACCTTTTCCGCACTGCCGAATCCCTTGAATTCACTCTCTTCTCCCCAATGACCCTCCTGATCCCACCAAGTGTTCAAGGCGCCAATCTCCTCAAGTCCTTCTGCCTCGGTAGCGGGAACATATGTCGGGTCTGAGGAAGTCAACTCCTTCTCTGATGCCGCCTCGGTTCGCTTTGGCGGCAGTGTTAACCGAGACTCTAAAACCGCCGCAGGAGTCTTGTCGGTCCGCGGTTGAAAATCGAGTGCCTCTTCCGGCAAATTTGAAGGGTCCTCGGGTTCTGGACGTTGCGTATAGGGGTCCTCTAATCCAGGTGCCTCCCCCTTCCACAGCTTCTTACGAACCCATTCTGTATTCTTGCTTCGGGTGGCACTCGTCGTCGAGACGGCTCGGCATGCGACGAAGGTTGCTCTGGACGCTGGCGAGGGTGTCGCTATCGCCAATTGCAACGACGCGAGTCTCCGCATACGCGTTATTCTTGACATGGTTGGCAGTTGTGGCTGTCGACGCACCCAGACACGGCCAGGAGATCGAGAAGTGTAAGTCGAGGTCAAGACTAGAACCTTCAAGCCTGCGCGGCAAGAAAGAGTGCATCGGGTGCTACTTGACTTTTTTGGCGTGGCAGGCAGGGACCAACCACATGCTGCGAGGCTGAGCTGGGTTCCATCTTGCTCCCTGGGTTTGACCCACACCAGACACACTTCAACGAGAAGCAATGCGACAACTGCGACAGTGACCTCAGCCCGAACTCCATCCTCCTGGAAGCCACACATGCCGCGAGGAACACGATGGCCCGAATTCAGGCTCTCGTGCTGATATTTGCGAGTCTTTTGGCTCTTGTTTCAGCAAGCTGTACGTCTGTCTGGCATCAATACCTCGATTTCACCGCTAACTTTGACTCTGACCAGCTGCTCCAACCTTTTGCAAGTGCACATGCTTTAAGAACAGCACAATCATCCCGTTGGGGCCCAAGGGAGAGTCATCAGGCTCTCCGTCGAATTCTTTCCTCAGTCTTTCCTTCTTTTCAGAGTCGAATCAGCCCAGTGCTGCTTCAGACGAATCAACCGACGATCAAGGTCTGAGCCGACGGTCATTGTCAACCTCATGTTCGGAATGTACCAAGTCGTTTTGCCTCAGCCAGGGAATCGATTTCTGCAAAGAGGCAAAGGAGGAGAATGTTGTTACTATGTGCTTCCAGCGAGACAGTAACAAGGACAAGATCATTGTCTGGGGTTTCATCCTCGGAACAGTTGGCCTTCTTGGATGGGCTGCTTTCAAGCGGGTCGTCGAAGTACGTGGCAAGAGGGCTATGTCCCGACAAGACATAAGCTATGCGCCAGTGAGCGACGAGCGGCGATAGCTCATGTGTATTTTAGACGACGACACGACCTGTACATTTTTAAAGTAATCGACGGCGTTTGTGGACATTTTGGGTTACCGCGTGTCATAAAGCATGTCTGGATATCCTTCACGACAGGGCTTGATTTTTTTGTCAGAAATCCACGAATATAAACTTCGAGACATATCTGAGGCACAAAATGTGCACCTCACTACTTTTTTGTCCTTCAATGACCATATGTATACAACTAATTTTTTGATGCAGGCCGACAGACCGCTCGACAAGTCTACGCAATTTTTTTTTCCCCTGCATTGATCCAACATGTGTCCCTGCACACGAAAATTTTCCCTTTCATAATATCATCAACCCCACGCACAATTCCCGCATAACTTGACAGAAGAGACCTAGGCTTCCTCGAGCAAGCTAACCTTTGCATGTCCGTTGGCAGATGGCCCGTTGATTTCACGTCTGGTCCGAACGGCTGCGGCAAGGTCCTCGAGCACAGTAATGGTGTCTTCCCAGTTGATGCAGGCATCAGTGATGCTGACACCTTTCTTGAGTCCAGACGGGCCTTCAGGAGGAACCTTCTGGTTACCTTCATTGATATTAGATTCAATCATTACACCAATAATGGCCTTCTCGCCCTCCCTGAGTTGATCTGCAACGACCTTTGCGACCTTGGGCTGGTTGTTGTGATTCTTCTGGGAGTTACCTGATCCTTCTGTTAGCCTTACCGCCTCGGACATTTAGAAATGGGTAATGGTAAATACACACCATGAGAGCAATCAATCATGATGGCAAGTTTTTGGCCTTTGTCCGACAGAGACTTCTTGGCGGCCTGAACATTTTCCTTGTCGAAGTTGGGGCCTCTGCTTCCGCCGCGGAGGATGACGAAACCGTGCTCATTACCCTTGGTACGAGTGATGGCAGCCAAGCCCTGCTTGGTGACCCCCATAAAGTGGTGTTTGGCGGCGGCGGCGCCGATGGCATCAATAGCAACTCCAAGGTTTCCATCAGTTCCGTTTTTGAACCCCACAGGGAAAGACAGTCCGGATGCCAGCTCACGATGTAACTGGGACTCGGTGGTTCGGGCACCAATTGCACCAACAGAGATACAATCAGCCAGGAACTGAGGGGAGATGGTGTCAAGCATCTCGCTAGCAATGGGCATACCATTCGAAGTAAGGTCGACGAAGAGTTGACGGGAAACTCTTAGGCCCTTATTGATCTTGAAGGATGAATCGATATCAGGGTCATTGATCAGACCTTTCCAGCCAACTGTGGTTCTGGGCTTCTCGAGGTAGGCACGCATAACTATGCACAAATCGTCGGCAAGCTTCTCGGAGAGTTCCTTGAGTCTGGCGGCGTACTCGTGGGCAGCAGCAGGGTCGTGGATGGAACACGGGCCGACTACGACCAAGAGCCGGTCACTGTGGCCCATGACAATATCGGCAGCATCATTTCGGCCCTTGATGACGGTCCGGATGGCACTGTCGGTCATGGGAAGCTCAGAGGTGAGCAGAGCTGGTGGGATCAGAGGATCCTGGCCGAGAACTGCAAAAGATGTTAGCTCCATCGATTGGGGCAGCGGATTTTGAAGCAATTGAGACACTGAAACATAAATGCCACCGTGTAACTATTGACACTGCATGACACTGCTTGGCGTTTGTATAACTGGAAACGCCAAAATGAAGTGATACCTGACGATTGGCAGAAAGACAATGTCATTGCAGCTTGATCCAGAGCTGGACCAGTTCCCACATGTGCGTAGGACCAACTGCGCAGGCAAAGGAATGAAATTCGTGTAACACTTACCTCTGGTGTCATCAGCCGCCAGCGGCCGTTGCAAGTCAAGCGCGGGCATCTTGAAGGTCTGGTCTGGAATTGCAGGTTGTGGTGAAGAGGAAACGCCGTGGACAAGATCGAGTCACAAGTTGATGAGCTACCCTACTACTACCTGGTAACTTAATTATTGGGTGGGTTGGGCCGGACGAGAGATTTCGGCAGATGCGTATGAGATGGCAGTAGTGGTCAATCGAGTGGGATAGTTCGTCAACAGATCAAACTGAACTTGGCCCTGGGCAACGATATTAAAGGGATCGAGAAGATGTTCGAGTGAGTCAGAAACCATGGAGCATGTGCATGTCAATGATGTACAAGCCATGGAACAGCAGAAAAAAAATCATGGATCGGAGCAGCTTCGGAGCGACCCCACCATGAATCTGGGTTTTGTGTAGGCTATCAAATGTGGCCGAATATTTTGCTGCAAGCGGCTGGCACTCTCCCACTTCTCCCACATGCTCCCACTGGCCCCTCAACGAATGTACCTCTAATGCGCCCACTCGCGCAGTTCTTGAGCACGCAACACACTTGGAATTTATGCGCGCTAGTGAGCTATCTTGGGTCGGTCGTACGGCCGCGCCGCTCTCTGTGGTCGTACGTCATATGCAGGGCCACAGCCTTGACTAATGGGCCATCTCCTGTTGGGTTGTAGAGGCCTTATCCACAAATGCCTGGTGTGAAAAGTGCCCGTCGGTTAGTTTGTCGATCGCAAACACTATATGGGCAAGCAAGGCCTCATTGTCATGAGCTGGCCTGACGCTGGTAGACCGCCTTTAAGGGTCTCCTGGTTCGCTCCCAATTCTCACGCTGCACACTCAAGTATTACGGGAATACTACATGCTTGCATGTCTGTATACCAGGTATGTACGGAGCATACTAGGCATGTATGCGCAAAACATGCAGGCTCGGCCCCAATGCCACAAGCAGATGCTATCAGTGCATCGGCATTGGTCCAAAAGCGGATGGGAATACGGCGCACTTCTGGAACACGCCTCGTAGGCACCTAGTAGGTACTTGGCTTTATCGAGAGTTGACATAGAATAAATAATGCCAAGAATGTGCACGCTGCAATTCTCAGCGGCCTTCCTGTTTATGCACTACGATCTGCCGATAGTTCACGAGCTTAAAAGGGGAATGCTCCTTCCCTCGAGTCGAATGTCAATGGAGAAAGAAGCATTATTTTTGATCCTCTCATTGTTTCCAAAATGTCTAGTGGTGGCCCAGATACCCACACTTGCGTCTGCGAGTGCAGGTTTCTGATACCTCTTAGCGGGCATTATCAACGCATGACTTATGAGCTTGAAGTTTCCCCGCTGAGCTTACACTTCCCAAGACATCTGGAGTGCTTCTGCATCTTCTTCGCAGTCACGCCATGACATGTCTGTTGACGCGTCATGCGAAGCAATTCTGAAACGGACGAAGATCAGTACTCTTGACATTTAGCCGCAGAGCATTGCCGGTCAGTTGCTCCAAAACAACGGGACTCGACCGACTTGTCCAGATGACAGCTCCAAAAAGCCCAGCATTCAGCCGGCTATTGATTGTGTGTGTGCGCGCGCAGTCGCTGGTGGCAGGATGTGGCCCATGGAATTAACCAGACGTTATAAAGTCGTCGTGTCTGCTCCGTACTCCATACTGCACTCGCCTATACGAGTTGCTCTGCAAAGACAAAGAGTGGGCTGACTCGCAAGTCTGGTGGCACTGGGAGGATCTCCTTGGATCAAGTCCTGGCCAGATCGTCGTGGCTGGCCCAATATGCACACCATGGTCGCATTCGAACGTCCAGGGTGTCTGACCCAGCACAGGATGAATGACTTCGTATCTGCCAAGAAGGATTGATACTCCAAGAGGGTGTAGGTATGGAGTACCTAGGGTAGTACTTGAGCAAGCGACATCTCGGAGTCATGGAAGAAGGGCTTGTACTCCGTACAGTCTCAGGAATTCTCTAGTGCTGGACCAGTTGCACTCGAATCAGCACCGTCGAGCCTGAGTTTACCATCGTTCCCCTTTGTCATGCTGTATTTGCAGCCATCGTCAAGCCCAATTAGGGGCCCTGGCCCGCCGCCACGCCCTCTTTATGGCTTTTTAAGGCGTCGAACTCCTGTCAACACTCGCATTGTCGTCTATAGACATATTGGCGTGGCTTCCCTGTGCAAACACAACAGCCCAAAGCCGGTGCATAATAGGCCTTATTAGCTGATTGATAAAGTCACACTGATCTATTCAATCTATGGAACATTCTGGTTATGCAGCATTCTCCCTCCACCCTTCCGTCCATCCATTGCCGTCGGCACTCGATCCCTCCACCGACCGCCACAGGGTTGACTTTGTCGTCATAGCCCACTTCTCGCAGAGGTGTCAGCCGCATTGAGACAACGCCCTGGTCTTGAACCAAAAGTTGCTGGCCCAAGTCTGGACATCTGGAGTCGGTTTGCCCACACTTTGAGCACCAAGGCTTGCCTCCCCCTCACGCCAACCGCGGCTCTCTCCCGACTCGCTGTCTGTGACTTGGCCGATTCGTCTCAGCTTGTCTTGCACCGCCAATCAATTTCTACTTGGACCTTTACGAGAAGGGCAAGAATTGGCTGGCTGTTGTAACACCCGTATTTTCTCGATCCCCCGCATCCTGCTCGAGTGTCTGCCATCCATCCCTTCGCGGAAAGAACCCCCGGCTTGTCGGCCTCGCGTCTCGTCACCTGCCATTGCCGAGTTTCTATCAGGGTGCTTGCTATCGGTCTTGTCAACTACCCGCTGGAATCATTCTGCCATCAATAGCCTGTCGCAAAGCATCACCTCCACCGCCACCCGTCACCATCATATCCGCAACAGCCAAAACCTGCATGCGATTCATCTAATAGTAGAGGACAGCGAACATGTTTGCTACACAACAGTATCTTGAGGCTGTTGACGCCGGACGAAAGCGCTTCAGAGACGACGAAGAAATAGCCAATGCTGCCGCCGGCTTTGGGGAACACAGAAATGTACGACTACTTCCAGCTTGCTTGTCTGCCTTGCCGTGCCAACATTGTTCGCTGCTAACCACCTATTCAGAAACGCATCCAGTCCCTGCCACTTCGAAACACCTCTCGAGCAGGCCAGCATAGTCCATCTCCAAGCGTTGTGCCCTTAAATGCGAGTCCTGCCTCTGCTGGTCCACGCTCCCACTTCGAACCGTTCCAGTCTGCTTCCGATCGAGATGGTCCGCTGCAACAAGATGCCGAGATGGACATGATGGACGTGACTATCTCATCACCTCCAGATCATGATGAAGTCGCACAACCCTCCGCCTTACTACTCGACCGTTCAACGGGTCGAATGCCCACGCCCATCCAGCCAAATTTTGCGGCACAAGTCAAGGGACAGCACAGCGGATGGGCGGCTACTGTGCAAACTCAGACAACCCCGAATGGAGTTGCGAACCTCGGCCATCACGTCATGGGTATCTCACAGGACCAAAGAGTACCACGAGCGATGACCGGCGGGCCAGACTGGCAGACCCTGCAAAACCACAGGCGGTTACCTTCACCGATCTCGGAAATGGGCGACCCCATTATGCATGATGGCGGTGACATCCCGACCTGCATGATGATGGATAGTGAGGGACAATTTGGTCAACTGAGTCAGCCAAGTCCAGTCCACGGTTCAATGTCTGGACAGCCATCACCATTGCACGCCATGGAACACCCCAATGCTATTATGGATGCTGATTCCCATCACCTTTTGCAACATGGCGAATCTGATACTGATCCGTCATCCCCTTCTCCAAGTCGCAAGGGACATCAGCGCAGTAAGCATACAGTTAACAGCTGGACGTGGCAGCCTGGCATGAAGAAGAGTTTCAGCATAGGATACAGATCGGACTGTGAGAAATGCAGGCTCAAAGTCCCAGGTCATTTTAATCATATTGTAATCTCATAGGGGAGGGAATGTCGGCTGGTGGGGCTTAATGCATTGAGAAATTTACTATCAACTGGATAATAGGGGCGGGTTTCGCGACTGGCAGCATCGAAACGTTGGATTCAGTTGCCGATGTTATTATTACGGACTGCCCCATAGGACAAACTTATTTTGAGCTGGATGGCGTTGAACAAGGTATTTGGATCAGGATTATACACAACGGCTTGAGCAAGATGAGGATCAACCTTGCTTTAAAATTCGGCAACACGGGGGGAATGATGATTGGCACAGTGGCATTGACCTTTCTTTTTCTTTTTTTAACCACTAGCGATTTTGACGAGGCTCAGTACTATTACCACCACACAGCTAAGCGACTTTTCCTTTTTAATTTAATATATACCTAGGTAATCTTTGGCGCAGTGACTACCGGCCATCACTATCGGGCACAACTCCTGCGTGTCGTATTCTCACAACACAGACGTGTACTACTATCAATACTGGATTTCCTGCTGAGGATGTTTCATGTGTATGAGTTCATTCCAAAGTGAAAGAACTTCGAGTGATGTGAATACTTGTGTTTTTGAATCAATGTTGATATGCAGGTAGTTGGGATCAACCCCTCTCTTATTACATACAAGAACGACTCCTGACGCCAATCTAATGCACAACCAATCTACAGAGTTATGATACATGGTTTTGTTTCCACCTTCTCCCAATGCCTTGCTAGATCATGGAACGATTGGAACGATTATATTCCCTTGCCGTCCCACGAGCATGTCTACCAAGGCCACCAGCCACGCTTTCCTGTTTTCTGCCCTGAACTGTCAGTCTCTAGGCCCAGTTGGTCTAGACTACCGCCTTTCAGTTGATTCTGTTTCTCTATTTCCCAGGCACCCTTGGCTTTGGTCTCAATTGACTGCACTACACCACCGTCGGCAGCCAACGGCGCAGTTGCGTTGGACGACGTCTCTTCAGCTGCCGTTGATCCACCAAAGAGCCCCGAGAAGAGGCCAAATACGCCCTTTCCCTCCTTCTTCTCATCGACGGCATCTCCAGAAAACTTCGGCTTCACGTGTTCCTCGAAATGTGTCCGGTGCTCCGCCGGCGCTAATAGGGGCGGCAGCTTGACGCCAGTTTCTTTCGCTTCGCGGTTAGCCTCTTCCACGAGGAGAATCTGCTCGTCGGTTGCGGTTCCCTTGAGGTACGCTATGCGGGCGGCGGCGAGGGAGTCAGCTTCGAGTTTCTTCTGGGCTTCGACCCATTCCGCGCGGCGAGCGCGGTTGTATTGGAGCATATCCCAGACGGAGTAGACGCTGACTACGCCAGCGACAGCTGTGAAGAAAAATCTGGAGTATCAGCTGCTGCAATCAATCGGTCCATCGCACGGCTTGGCGAGGTGCAAATGAGATGCACCGCAAGGAGCTGGGGGCATCATACCCGTGAAGACGACGATACCGCCGACTGTCCACCGATGCGCAACATCCAGGAACCTTCTCGACGCATCGATGACTCGATCTGTCCTGCTGATCTGTGCCTTCTGTGCCGCGATGTGTGCCTGCCTCAGTCGTCGAACCCGCTGCTCAGGAGTCTCGCCGGGAACCCGAGGTGACGGCTTTGGCGTCGTGGCAGCGGCTCGTCCCCCGGCCGCACCGGCTGTTTTAGACGTGGCGTGAGGGATGGTTGATGTGAAGCGTGTTGCGTCCTTGACGCTTCGGGGTCCCATTCTAGACGCCATGGTGGGCTTAGGAGGAGAAGGTTTTTGTTGCGGTACACTTGACGCAGGAAAGAAGCCAAATGTCGAGTGATTTGATTGGGGAGACGGTTGTGGGAGAATGGCCTGAGGGATCGCCTTCTCGTGAGATTTTCTGGGACGGCTAGCTGAGCGGTGATTTTAACGCTTGTGATTGGGCGCACGCGGGAAAATTTCGGGCATGGCAGTTCCAGCTGGGAAGGGGACATGATTTTACGTGGGCCTGTTTCAATCTAATGAATCGACAGAATTGCTGGACGTGATGATGCGATTGTACATGGAGATAGATATTTTCGAAAGGCTGTAGTTGAATTCTACAGTTTGGTGGTGCTGGAGAGTGAAGCCGGTTGGGAGAGTGTTGACGAGGAGTCTCTGCTTTTTCTCCTACCTCGGACGACACCTGAGCCCCCCGTCGGTTGCATGGAAAAGGCCAAGGACCTGCTAACCTTGCACGACTCTTAGAGATAGTAGACTAGTTTTCATTTACATGATAGTGACCTGGGACTTGGAGTTCAAAAGTCATGCGATGCTGCCTGCTACCACTAGATGAAATTTGATGTGACCGGGTACCCTCCCGTAATTCACGCCACGTTATAGCCATCACGGATTGACAAAACCTCCCGCGTTCTGTGACGATCCCAAACTACAGCACTTCCGCCCACCAAGGACACTACAAGTGACGACAAGGCAAGTGTAGTTGATAACTTCGTTACAACACACCAATTTCCAAATCGTCGGCATGCAAATGCACTTTCGGCATTCAGGGAGCATCATGCGTCTTCTTCATGACATCGCTCAAGGCAACGCTCACAATGAAAACGAGGTGAAAATCAAAAATTACGCCCCCCATGGCCCCGAAGGACAATGGAGCAAGGAACGACTCCGCGCTGTGCAATGCAGGCCTTCCATACTGAATCCCCCGAATCTTGAGCTGAGGAATTCGGAACAAGGTAAGTATGAAGAAGAAAGGAAGAAAAGTTCAAAAGCTGGAAGAGTCGCCGAAGTTTTATAGCTGTTTGTTGGTGCCTGGGGCAGCCATTCTCTGGCGAGCCTTAGTCATCTCCCAGTGCCGACAGATTTTCCGATTTCACGTGACCCACACATTTGGCCCAATTCTCGCTTCCTGCGCTTGGAGAGGGCACACCCCACCTGGTACGTAGCTTTCGTAGGGCACGAAAACCCTTTAGACAATTTGTCAAGCCTCCATCTCCGAAATTTCAACGCCTACCGAACATCGACAACCGGAGCGAGTTTGATCGCAAGCAGGCACAATGGTATGATTACCCCCGTCGAATGCATGCATTTGCATGATTTAAATATCATTGTTGACCAGAATTTTTTTTTCAGGCGATCAAGCACAACCAGAAGATTGTCAACAACCGTGAGCAGCCCACCCCATTAAACCGACAGACGACAACGGCGACGACGCCATTCGACTGACATGTTCTCCAACAGACTTCCGCAAGGACTGGCAGCGACGGGTTCGCACCCACTTCGACCAGGTATGCGATATCGAGACGGACTGAATGACGAATGGTGGCCGTGAAAATGCAATGGTGATGTTGACTTTTCATAATTAGCCCGGAAAGAAGGCCTCGCGCCGTGTTGCCCGTCAGGCCAAGGCTGCTGCTCTGGCTCCTCGCCCCGTCGACAAGCTGCGTCCCATTGTCCGATGCCCTACTATCAAGTACAACCGTAGGGTCCGCGCCGGCCGGGGTTTTACCCTGACTGAGCTCAAGGTACGATTATATTGCTCGACAACGCACTCCTAGCCCCGCTTTTGATCTCGCGAAATCCTTCACCGAATGAATGGAGAACGGAAACGCAAATCAGATTAATTCTGGGAGACGGGCTTGGTTGGACTTCCGATATTGTACTGGTCTTCTAACACTTTTTGTTCACAGGAGGCTGGCATTGCCCGACCTTTGGCTCGCACCATCGGTATCGCCGTCGACCACCGTCGCCAGAACCTCTCCGAGGAGAGCCTGGCCATCAACGTGGCCCGTCTCAAGGCCTACAAGGAGCGCTTGATCTTGCTGCCGCGCAAGTCCAACGCCCCCAAGAAGGGTGACACCAAGACCGACCTCTCCAAGGTCAACAAGGCCACTAGCATCTCATCTGTCCTGCCCATCGCCCCCACCGACATCGCTGTCAAGGAGATTAAGAAGAGCGAGATGCCCAAGCCCATCGACGGTGGTGCTTACACTGCTCTGCGCATGGCCCGAAGCAACAAGCGATACCAGGGTGCTCGTGAGAAGCGTGCTAGAGATAAGGCGGAGGCCGAGACTGCTAAGAAATAAACTGGCAAAAAAGGGTACTGGTGTTTGAGGGTTTTTTGCTCTTTGCGTCTCTTTGGAAGTGGCTACGTCGGTTCGAGACCCTGAGGGAGTTCTTGCCCCGATTTCATGGCGGAGAGATACTATAGGTCCAGGTCAAAAATATTATTGCATGATCACCAGCTCTTGTTTTTATGCCTTGTACACAAAACCGCCAACGGGGAAATGTTTTTTCTTCTCTCGTGAACTTTTAATTTGGGAGCCACAAAGACAGCATCACAAGTGATATCCCCAGCTGGCGCTCCTATTTAGGCCGAATGTGCTTTGGTTCTATCGGTAACAATAAGCTGTGTTCCATCCCGGACCAGACGTTGCAATGAAGCAATTTTCTCTGGTGCTAACTCGCCCTTTAAAACTTTCAACAACTCGGTGCATAATACAAGTGCATTTTCTCTGTCCACCTTTGCCATGTTTTCCTTTTGCTTCGGGTCGACTTGTTGAGGTTCCAGCTGCAACTCACTTGCTGCAGAAGACAACTCTGGATGTGGTTCTAGCTCTCTGGGCTCGTCATCAGCGGCAGCATCTTCTTTGTTCTCTGGCTTTTGGCCCGTGATTGTTTCAATCAAGGCACTCTCTGCTGCCTTGTCATGCAACACGGATACCACCACCGTTGCACCACTCTCAGACCGGGACATGAGGGCAAAGACAAACCAAGCCTCGGAGCGGAGAGACGGCCATTTATCTTGAGTTATGAGAAATCTCAATGGGCTTTCGACATGATGCTCTTTGTAGAAGTTTGTTCTTTTGCTCTCATCAGTGTTGGTGTCATTGGATCCTAGATTTTCCAGAACTTCGGACACGGGAGAAGAGTGAAGTGCCCGGCAAAGGCCTGCCACACATCTGGCCGCCTCAAGTTTGGTTGGTTCCGCGTCTGACCGTCTGAACAGGGATATAATACCACCTGCGCTGGATAGCTGGCGGACAGAACCATCCGTCGAGTCGGCGTCCGTGCTGGCGCAGATCTGGCGAACGTTGGAAGGGCAGTTGAGTAGGAGCAGGCGCGTAAGAGATATCGCTGCGAATTGGATCTGCGGTAGTGTGTCAAGAGAGTATATTCTTGGAACACATTGTGGAAGTAGTAGATCTTTTAGTTGCGGTTTGTTCACTGTGGGGATTGCTAGATTTTTGAGGAATGAGCAGGCTGCATGGAGGAGTTGAGTATCGGTGACAGCTGGGTTGGATAACAGCCTGACGAGAGGCTCATGTGCTCCGTATGTGTCTACCAAGGCTATCGAGGTCTTGTCAGAGCGAGATATATTACCCAAGGCCAAGCAGCCAGCAGATTGCAAGAAGGGATTGTTTCCCCGGATCCAGGCCAGGAAGGATTGCGGCACAGCATCTGATAACGGGTAGGCCGTGGCGAAGGCGTCGTTACCGGAAATATCGGCCAGAGTTGAGAGCAAGGAAGCCCGTAATTGCTTCACTTGCGTTACAGTGTCTTCATCGTCCACGTCGGCAACATTCAAACCAGCATGAGCATGGCGGAAGGCATCCATAAACAACCCCATTTGCATTTCCGATGCCACCACCCTCGACTGAAATTTTTCATTAGCCAGGTAGGCCACGGCCACTCCTACAATAGCAATGAACTCGTCAACATCCTCTTTCGCGTTTTGTTGATTAGCCAGTTTGAGAAGAACCTCTACTGTGGATGGATCTGCAACGGCGCACTCTCCTTCTTGCGACACAAGAAGAGCCAAGATTTTGCAAATATATGGGACAAATGGTGCGTATTTAGAGATTTGTGGCAGAGACAAAAGGTCGACGAGTTGCTGGCTGAGGCGTGATTTTGAGGCCAGGACTTGAGCAGGATCTAGATCAACTTAGCACAAGTCCTCGCGCGTATAATTACCGCGACAAGTTATTTCTCACCATAGTCAACCAGAATGTTGTAAATGACCGGAATGTTGAACGGTATTAAGCCTTCATCCTTCACATACTTGGTGATTGCCAATAGCCGATTGTCTTGCACCACTCGAGCCCGGTTCTCATCGGTATCAGCGCACGAGTTCCCTATCAAACGAAGAGAGTGAATGCGAAGCTTTTGTCTCAGGCCACCCTCAGCTAACAGGCCGAGAAAGAAGTCCAGGATTCCGGAATCTCCGTATGGGAGACGCCATGCCGCTATACGTTGGTAAGCCCGTATTCTTAGAACAAAACCAACCCCATTTCCCAATCCTGTCAACAAGAGATGGACGGTCATTTCTGCAACTCACCATCTCGAATTCCATCCCCAAGTTTCTCTGCTATCAAGTCCAGCTGTTCAGATTTAGTTGACCAGGCATCTCTGCAGGCAGCCAGAACGTTGGAGAGAAGTTCTGTACGTTTCAGAGGGATATCAGACGGTTCCAATGAATCTTCAAGACCGCTTTGCTTATGGCAACTACCGTACTCTTGGAGGAGAGCGGCAACTTCCTGTGGTGTCATGGCGCCTGTCTCTCTGGCCCTCAGACCCGGCTTTGCGAGCAAGTCTGGGCTGAGCTGAGTAGCCTGAAATCCCCACAGGGTTGATGATGAGCCCTCACAAGCAATAGACACAGACCCCTCGAGCCTTCTTTGCGGATGAACCGACGGAATTTTCACGTAGTCTGTACGAGCTCTAATTACTTTGTTGATTTTAATTACTCCCCTATTCTCAGTGTGATTGGCCCCGGGGAGGGTCATATGTCAAACCATTGTCTCGTCTCGCAGAGGTTCCCGAGTTGCACGGCAAAATACCGGCTAAACCGCAGAGCTACGTCCAAGTTCTTCCGACCACGGAACCATTGGCTAGCATCGCGCCCGTGGAAAAATCCAGAAAGCCGCTCCGAACCTCCAACTCCTACACTCAGCTTCGTGTGAGACAAGGGCCATTCTCCCCCCAAGGCGGCCCATTACTTTTTACACAGGGCCATCCTGTCGCGAGAGCCTCGATCGCCGGTGACTACAGTTTGAGCTAACTGACTTTTATTTTCTCACAATGGTATGGATGAACCTTGCTCTCCTGTCCCACCCCGAGAGCTCATGGCCTCGAAACCGAGTTCTTGAACTCCAAATGCGCCTCCTCAACAACGGGCCAGCTATGGCAAGCCGGCTCTCGAAACCAAGACACTAACAAAAGGGGAATGCAGGCGCACCGGTTCGTCGTTACCGCCTTCCTGACGGGCTCACGAATCCTCGGCCGATCCTTCATGGCGGCCTACAAGCAGGCCCAAGCCGCGTCGCAGTACCAGCGTGCGCAGGCCAAAGCCGGCGGCGCCGCGTCAGGCCGAGCCTCCCTGGCGTCCGGCATGACACTGGACGAGGCCTGCAAAATCCTCAACGTCAAGCCCCCGGCCGGCGGGCAGGCAAACGTCGAGGAAGTCCTGGAGCGATACAAGCGGCTGTTCGACGCCAACGACCCCCAAAAGGGAGGCAGCTTTTACCTGCAGAGCAAGATTGTCCGGGCCAAGGAGCGGTTCGAGCGGGAACTGGGCCCTATACGGGAAAAGGCGGAGCAAGAGGCCGAAGTAAAGGAGGGATGGAAGCCAAAGGTCTACAAGGACAAATAAGCGATAACCCGAAACCATTCTTGGTCAATGTCTCTTGTACCCCGGCGCATATGTTTACCATCAGTCCGGCCCTGTTATCTGGTCGCGAACTCCAACATCATCTTCCAACAAGGGATTGGGCCCCGATGGCCCTGAGCAATTACGAATTTAAGGAAATGGCCATGACGCGACGAGGCGCAGGCTAGGCTTCCTGTGGGGATGAGAATCTTTTTTTTTCTTAAATTCATTTCCCTTTGTATACATGTACATCTTCACTCGACTGCGGCATGGCACGGCGTTTTTATGGGCGGCACATTTAGAGGCATGACACTGAAAAAAATTGGCCGCTGGAGACCAGGATTAGACGAAAAAAACAAAGATGCCTTGAGCTTCATGTTTAATATACTTGTACTATATGACACCTATATTCGGAGTTGAACAATGGTTTCTCATGTAAATTAGTGATGATTGCAGTGTAGTGAGTTATACAGTGTGTATAGTATGTCGACCCGGGAAGCAGCCCCGAATCCTGGGAGGAAAGGTCCCTGTGTTTGGAGTGATGGATGGAAGAAGATTTGAAGGACAGCATCAAGAGGATACAAGATTTGCAAAAATGTCATCCCTGTGTCCTAGCTGACACACCTATGTTTTCCTATCTATGTGGGATTCTTCAAAACCCAGGTCCACCCCCTACTGCTTCCTCCTCACCAGGCCCTTCCAGAAATCAAAGCTATTCTCATCACTCTGCAGCGTCCATATCTTCCCCGTTCCCCGTCCCTCGGCGTCCGTCTCCTCAGCCCTCAACATGCCCCAATCCCTCGTGATTCCCAACACTCTTGCTCTCACACCACCCTCTGCCTCCAGCGAAATGGCCTGTCCCGTGTGCAGCCAGTGCCGGTAGTATCTTTGCTCCAAGTTTTCTGAAAAGCCTTCGCGGCGGAATTGCGCGTGGATGGACTCGAGCCGAGTTACTATTCTCGCCAGCAAGGATTCCAAATGGAGAGGAGACGCATTCGCGGGTAGGAGATCGGAGATGGATGTGGTGGGACGAGGATTGATGGCGTTGATGCCGATTCCGAGAACGATTTGGTATGAGCCGTCGCAGTAGCCGCATTGGGAGAGGATGCCACCGATTTTGACGTAGGTTTTTGACGATTCTGACTTTGTGGGGTCGAGGGCATCTTTTTTTTTGTTTGCCCGTTAGTATGGCATGGAATTTTGGGGATAGGATTTGGGCGGTAATGACTTACAAATGTCGTTTGGCCATTTGAGTTTGATAGGGAGGTTCTCATAGCCAACACCGTAGGACTGAATGGCCTCCACGATGGCAACAGCAGCTATGTACTGGATGAATACTACGGGTCTGGAAGCGGCTAGGTAGGCAGGGTGGTTTATGATGGTCGAGAACATGAGTCCTCCTGGGGGTGCGACCCAGACGTTGGTCCCGCGACCACGGCCAGCGACTTGAGTTGCTGCGGAGAATGTGAATCCAGTTGGAAGCTTGGATATGAATTTCGGGTTTCTGTTGAGGAGCGTCAGCGTGGCGTTCGTTCTGCCAAAGGGGGTTCCCACGGCCTGGCGTACTTTTCTAGCAAGGAGTTGGTGCTTGTGACCACATCGCCGTACATCAGGATATTGCCCCAGTCTTCTGCGCTGTCCTCCGTCATCTGGAATCTCCGAAGACTCGAGTAGTAAAGCTTGTGGTTGAATCGAGGAGTCATTTCCGCAGTCGGCAGCGCTTTTTCATGAGCAATAACACGCTTTATTATGGTGCTGTAGTCAACAATGCCGGTCTCGCATGGCGGATGCTCATCCGAAGCCGGAAGGGACCGGTGCAGGTCTTCCAGCGTGAGTCCATCCTGATCGCTTTGAATGCAAAACCTGTCCGCCTCACCTGCGATGAACTCCTCCCCGTTCTCCTTGTCAATGACTTCGGCCCAGGCATACAGTAGCTCCGAGACTTGGGAGTTGTCGACGGCAGACAGGTGGATATTGGAGAGCGTGGGCAATGTTGCATTTTCGGCGCTTACTTCGAGTCCGAGTCTCTCCAAACAGGCTTTTAAAAAGCTGAATCTTTTATCGTCATCTTCTTGGAGCTTGTTGATAAGGTCGTCGTACCCTGGGATCGTAGGTTGCGGAGAGAGATTTACAGGAGCAAATCTATCAGTTGTTAGCCTTGGCATCTGCAGTCTCCCTGTCTCTCTCTCTCTCCCTTTTTTTTCTTTTTCATAAAGTTTACAAATGCACTTACTCGGGATGAGGCCCGGATAGCAGGGCCTTGCCGTCTCCAATGTGACACAGTACCAGAGCGGCTTTGCCATCGCCGCCATCCACATCCAAGTCTTCAGCATAGGAGGCCAAAACTTCCACCTTGCGTCCTGTCACTTTACCCACGTCCACGAAAACACCACCTCCGTTGTAATAAGAAGCAAATGTCTCTGGCAGGCCGCCGTGCTTGAACGCGCCAGCCGCGACCCTCAGGACGGCAGCACGCGCACCCTTTTCGCTGTGGTATTCAAATCCCTCGAATGCGCCTCCCCGACAGGTTCCAGGATAGAAACCCAGTTCCCTGCTTCCAACAACTTCAAGCGGCTTGTTCCCTGCCTCAAACTCACACCTGCTACTCCCGTAGTATCCACCAGCACAGAGGCCCAGATACGCACCGCCACGGCGAACAAACTCGCCAATAAGGCGGTTTCCTCCGCCATTGAGAACTCTGCAGTAGCCCAGGTCTGCGCCGCCGGGGATCACAAGGAGCGCGCAAGTGGGAGCCCATGGTTCCTTGAGAATGACGGATTCTGAGATGGGGATGACGGCATAGTTGGGCGAGAGCAGGCGCCGGAGGGAGTACATGCACTGCCGGACCGATTCAGATGTAGTCCCAGTACCTGGATGAATTTTCAAAAAGTCAGGAACTCGGCGTCATTGAGGCCTAGAAAAGGTGGCTGCGTACCCGTGTAGACGAGGACGTTGAGCCGCCTGGGCGTCATGATGCCTCGGGGTCTCAACCAAAAGGTGTCGATGGAGATGGTCGCGCCCACGGCAAGTCGACAATTTCTCCCCCCTCCCTCTTCCGTCACCAAAATTGCCTTTTTCTTCTGTACTGCCCGACGCCAAAGGGTACGCAATGGGGTCACAGTCGTCGCGCCCAGAGCCAGATCAGCCAACAATGGCCCAGGACAAAGGCAAACTTCCGTCTGTGACGGAGCCCGTGGACGATGATGAGCCGGATGAGTGGTGAGTGGGCTTTCTCAAGTTCCTGCCGTTTGGGGGTGACCATCTGCCTCGAAACGGCCTTCGGCCCCGATGCTAAGCCGCGACACACTGACGCTCGCACAATTGTGACGCAGGGACAAGAGAATTTTCAGCACCGGATGTGCAGGTAAGTATTTTTTTTCAATCGATGATGCACCAGTCTACTTTTTTTCTATTAATTCTTTTTGGTGTCGTTTGGCTTCCGGCGCATGACGGGGCAAGCGGAGACATCATGGACTGACATGTTTGTAGACGAGAATATGAAAATGACCGATTGCTACTTTGAGAGGAAGGATTGGAGGGCCTGCGCCGCAGAGGTAAGCTTCAATGGCCTCAATTCTCGAACAATTTCACTGACCCAACCAACGTGCCGCCTCCCAGATGGAGGAATTCAAGCAATGCTGGAAGCGTCATGGAAACGACGAGCGCACATCAAGCAAAGACGCTTGACTCTGAAGCAGCAATGCATGTATTGAAAGAGAATACGGAGTATATGTAGCCATATGTAACAGTACCATTAATCAATTAATCACCACTTTCAATGTCCTTGGCCAAGCTACGTGGTATGATTACAAAAACGCCTTGTGTGGGGCTCCCATTCAAAAACTGCACGGGGAAAAGCTCCCATTCTCCTCCAGCTGCACATCTCCAAATCGCTTCAACCCCCATCTCCTTCCGACCCATTCTCCCGCACAACACCGCCGCCGCCTGTCGCCTACGCCATCCGACCCCGTTGCTTTGCGCCCAAAGAAGCCCACATGAGACCATGATGCTCTCCAGACGAGCCGCCTCAGCAGCGGCAGCGGCACGAGCCCTCGCCCCCCGCGCACCATTCCTCCCTCTCGCAACCCGGCTCTACGCCACGGAAGCAGCTGCACCGGCTGCCCAGCCCTCACAAACTCCCCCGGCAGCGGTCTCGAAACCCACCCCCGCAGCTTCAAAATGGGCCAAGGCCAAGACGGCCGCCAAACCCGCCGGCAGCGCCAGCACCAGCTCCGCCCCGACCGAGGCGGACGTGACGTATGAGCCCAGAACCATCGCCTACCGGGCGGAAGCAGAAGGCTCACGGCCGCCCGTCGACGTCACGGGCATACCGGTGGTGGACTGGGCCAACAGCTTCCACGGCATATCGTCCCGGCCCGTAACCGAGGAGCAGTTCAAGGCCCTCATGGCGCCGCTCGCCATCAAGGACATCGAGGTCAAGCCCGACGGCGTCATCTACCTCCCCGAAATCAAGTACCGGAGGCGACTGAACGAGGCATTCGGCCCCATGGGCTGGGGCATGATTCCCAAGGGCGACGCCGTGGTCGGCAACTCCATCGTCACGAGGGAGTATGCGCTCATCGTCGACGGCCGGTAAGTTGGAACCATTCTTGTCCCCGTCCCCGTCCCCAGGGGAGACGAAAATTTATTTTGGCTGACACTGAGCCGACAGGTTCGTCTCGCAGGCCCAGGGGGAAAACGCCTACTTCTCGCCCGACCAGCTCCCCTCCTCCGTCGAGGGGTGCAAGTCAAACGCCCTGATGCGCTGCTGCAAGGACCTTGGCATCGGCTCGGAGCTGTGGGACCCCCATTTCGTGCGGTGGTTCAAGAAGACGCACATGGAGCAGGCGTGGGTGGAGCACGCGACCACCAAGAAGAGGAAGACGTTTTGGTTCAAGAAGGGTGAGGTGCAGGTTTCGTACCCCTATAGCTTGGCGAAATAGACGTCACTAAAAAGGAAAGGGGGGAAGGGGGCGCATAATCATAGAGGGCAAATATGCCGGGATATAAATTCAGACAAGGTAAGTGGATGTAGGTGGTTTGTGCGTGTACGATATATGCGACAAAGTCTCCATTAGATATAGCGTTTTGGTAAATAATGCATGAGCGACGGAGTTTCGCCATTGACTTTCAGTCTTGCAAGTCGTATCTTGTGAACTGAGAGTCCAGTCAAGTTAAAGGTAGGGAGCACTGACTGGCCAGTCGCGACCGTATATTAGGAGGCATGTTGGCTGAGAGAGTGACCAAGCCTCAGAAGAAGAAGAAAAAAGGATATCTAAGCCAAAGAGCACCAAATTCTACACATGTATCCCAAACTCCTTTCTGGCCCATTGCGACCGAAGCTCCTAATCTTCCTTGGGCCCTCCCGGACCAGGAGTCGCATCACCAGAGCCGCCCCAGCCCCATGGCATCCAGGAAGCTCCCGCTGTGCCGGACGGGACGTTGCGCCGACGAAGAGTCACATCATCTTCCGCCCCGCTCTCGGCTTCGACCTTCTCAAAGTCGGTCTCGCTGCGACTCTTGCTTAGGGCGCTGAACATGCTGAGTCCACTGGGTGGCCGCTGAGTAACTTCGTCGTCGTCCATGTCGCGTGTGCCGGTTGGCGCAAAGCCTCCTGGTGGCATGGTGGGGGAGGCTCCAGTGCCATCATGTTGAATCTGCTGCGCTTCGCGATCCAAGGCGCCCAACACGATATTAAGGCGCTCACGCTGCGCAGCAATAAAATTCATCTTTTCGGCCGAGCCTCGCAGGTTGGGAGGAATCAGAGTCCCCGAGTCAGTCATGCCTCTGCCAGACGAGCCACTAGGACTACCAGCAAGCCCGCCGGCGTTGGAAGCAGCAGCGGAAACTGCGCTCGCCAACAAATTGTAGAACTCGTTGCCGGTGTTGGCGGTGCCGGCCCATCTTGTCGTCGGGACACTAAACCGAGCAAGCAGCGACTGCGTGTAGCCCTGCGGCCCAGCGGATGATGGGGACGGCGGCGTGGGTTCAGGTTCCGAGGGAGGAAGGTTCAGGATGTTGGTTTTGAGGTACTCGACGGCGCGGCGGAAGTAGGTCATGCCAGCGGCCTTGAGGCGCTCATGGGCGCTGGCAATGAACTCGTCTATGCTGGTTTCATTATCTGCAAGAAAAGGATGGACATGTTCCTCGTAGAGAACGCGGGCGCCCTGGGTTTGAGGAAGAATAAGATAGAGGAAGAAGAGCAGGCGAAGATAGCCGTAAAATGGGATCCTATGACGGCGAAAGCTGTGTAAGTTGACCGACTTTGTTTCAGATCCTACGGCTGGCTGAAGCGACAAGGCGCTGGGCTGGGGTACGCACCAGAAGAGGATAAAGGATAGCCAGGACTCAACCAGCAAACAGATGCTGAAAACGACCCAGTACATGAGCCATGGCGTCAACTGAGCGGGATCTGAGGTCTTGAGAGCCTTGTATGAGGCGAAGATGGGGAATAAGAAGGAGGCGACGGAGCTGTTGCGACGAGCGGATCAGCACGCGATGCCTGGCGTTGGCATTCTCGAGAGTATCGAATGAGCACGAGGGGTGGGTTTGTGACGACATGGCGGCGGGGCAGAGCTGGGCACTTACGATAAGAGCATGGCAAAGAGGTCGAACATGGCTACGGCTCTTTTCGTCGAGGCCAGTGGCCCCGGGACTCTCTGGATGATGAGAAGCAAGGGCGCGTTGTATGTTGTTGACGGGCGGAGGAGGGCTAAGACTATAAAGAGTGGGCGAGAAATCGACAAGAATAGATATCAAGGCTCAGAGAGGAGGGGAGGAGGAAGTGTGAGGCTGGCTTGCAATGGGGACTCAACTAGCACTGGCGTCATGGGGTGCAGTGCTGGGGCGGCGCTAGGCGCTGGGCGTGCACCGGATTTAGCAGGGCGTCCGGGGCACCTGGGAGCCTGGCAGACCTGACGCCTCCCTGTCGCATGAAGGAACCAGTTCAATGTTGACTTCTGCACGCGTGAGCCCGTCCAAATCTGCACCCGTGACGTGCCAATTAAACTCTGACGCACGCCACCGGGTCGCGGACGCTGCTAGATCAACGGATTCGACACATGCAGGGATCAATCAATCGCAAATGCAAGCAGGGACGTGACTGACGCTTCAGTGCTGGTGGTGTATCTGGTGTGTTGGAGCCGCTTCACCGAGGGATATAACGGTGCTATTCATGACTGAATCATTTCTATTCAGGCTGTCCGCGAGGCTCCATTTAAATGCCATTGCTTCAAAAGAGCCGAGTTTATTGCGGGAGCCTGGGAAAGAGTCCACCCCAAGGCAATTCAAACATGGAACAAGGCATGGCAGACCAGTATTCACACCGTGTTTGCGTCACCACGGCACACGCATTGTACAACAGTATACCCAGCCTAGACTTGTAAAAGCGTCTATTGTACTTCTTCCGCCGCAGTAAACCCCGTTGCCATGTCGTACGAAACTCAACCAATAAACCCTCGCAACTTGGCCTCGTCCATGATGCCGTTCTCATCCAGCCTAGCCGTCTCGACAACCTCGCCATCAACACGCTCATACTTGGCAAGCGTAGGGACGCCATTGACGTTCCAGTTCTTTCGGAACACATTCTCGGGGTTCCTCCATCTACGTAACCCTGTGTCAGCCGTCTGTCCTTGTATTCTTTTATTACACCACAGACTTTTGTGTCGCAAAGAGAGAAGAAAGAGAAGAACGTACTCTGGCCTTTGGCCGACTTCAACCACTGACACGGTTGGTGCATCCTCCCCGCCAAACGCGGCCTGGATGTGCGGCCACGAAGCCCGAACGTCGGGGCACCACGGCTGCTTGGTCTCGGGGTCTTCCGACGAGATGAAGACGATAAATGCTCTCGAGGCAAAACCCGGCAGTTGGAGCTGCTTGGCCGAGGGGGGGACGACCAAGGTTCTCGAGATGGGAATTTTGTCTGAGGGCCAGAGGCAAGAGTACAGCGGGTTGTCTCGGTGTGCCGGTGGAGGGAGAACTGTACGATTGAACTCAAGGCTTGAGGCTGCACCGACAGAATTTTGAAGTGAAAAATTGAGGGCAAAGATACCGTCAACGAAAACGGTCTGGTTCTTTCCCAATGGTTTTCGTCGGCTCTCGAGACTCGAGAGCTTCTGTGGGCCGCTGTTTGCGGGGTAGGTAGCCTTTGCTCGTCTTGACTTAGACTGCGTCGTGTACTTGTGCGGGCTGGCTGATCAGGTCAATACCATCGTGAGAGCTCAATGAGTGTTGGAGATTAGTAGAGGAGGTGCCGCTTCACAAAAATCCATCTAGATGACGAATGGTGGTGCGAGTCGCGTCGGAATTGCGCCTTTGGTGTTTTGTCTGATTGGTTGCCCTGACTGCCACACGACAAGTAGTTGAACGGCAGTAGACCTGGCGGCAATACCTTTGAGAGCTTGATCGGCTGTGTGGAATTTGAACTAGGAATCTGTCTAGTAGTGACTGACTCCTGAGGTGTTGAGGTGGTCTGATGGAATTGCCTCGTCGTCCAATGCCCTTCTTAGTTGGCTTGCTGGACATCATACCATCAATCAAGAGACATATGAAATGTACCCGTTTGCATTCTCCTTTAGACTCTGTGATGCACAGAAACGTTGATTCACAAAAGACAACAACTCAGCAGCTACAAAAAAAAGGGGATGGCAGGCCATGAATGCAACAGCCTTCCGGAGAGCAACGCGCTTCAAGATATGCGCCAACACAATCATCTCGGCTTGCCTATAACTAGCCACAGGTACCTCTTCGTGTAGCTACAAGCTGTAAATAACATCTTTTGACACCGCCATGCTCAGACGGACATCTCCTGGAACAATGCATTACCAGTGTTGTTTCGGCTCAACACTTTTACGTCAAACCACTTGCACGAGGTGACGCTTCGGGCCACAGTTCCTTGGCAATATCACCAACCAGCTTGAGCTTGTCAAACATCTTCTCCTCCGTCATGCCGTCCGCGCCCACGGCAACGCTCGCAAACCCACACTGCGGGCTGATGCCAATGTTGGCCATGGCCTCGTCGACGCTCCGGCCCTGTCCGCGGGCAATGATCGCCGCGGCCTCGAGCACGCGGCTCTTGACCGTCTCGGCGTCCTCCAGCCGGGCGTCCTTGGTGGTCACGACGCCCAGCACGACGTTTTTGCCCCTGGGCAGGAACCGGAGCGGCTCGAACCCTCCGGAGCGCGGGTTGTCGTATTCCAGGAAGAAGGTGTCGTAGTCCAGGGTGGTGAAGAACTTTTGGGCGATTTTCTCGTACGAGCCTTCGCTGAAGTGCATCGATTTGGAAAAGTTGCCTGTCAATCAGAAATTTGTTAGGTACGTGGCCGTTCGTCCTGCGGCGTTTGGCAGCGCGCGCTCACCTCTGCATACGTGAAGCCCAACATGCATATCTGCGGGCCGGCCTGCAATGCAGTCATTGTGCGCCCTCAAGTACAGGTCGAGCAGCCTGTCCGGATCATCGCCCTCGGCGCGCAGGGACTCGACCATGTCGTCGGAGCAAAAGTAGGCGAGGGTCGGGTCGTCAATCTGCAGATTGCGCAGGCCGGCGTCGTACAAGGTCTTGATCTCCCGCCGGTAGGCCCTCGCCAGGTCGGCGAAGAAGGCGTCGTCGTCGGGGTAGACGCTCGTCTTGTACGATTTGCCCGGCGCCAGGCGGAGGTGGAAGTAGCACGGCGGCGGCATGGTAAACTTGCACTCGGCCCGCAGCTCCTCGGGCACCGAGTCGCGCAGGAGCTTCCAGTTTTCGAGGTACGGGCTGGCGTCGTAGGTGATTTTGCCCTCGCACACGGCCGCCATCATGTACGGCCGCCCGGCCTTCTTGAGCGCCGCGATGGGCGGCGCGGACAGGCGCGCGAGCTCCCATGGCACGGGGCTGACTTCCCGGAACCCTCCTAGCTTCTCGAAGAAGCCCGAGAAGTAGTACTTGCGGTCGAATTCGCCCGACGACAGGGCCCGGACGCCGTGGGCGCGCTGCTTCTCGACAATGTCGGCGATTGCGTCTCGTTGGCCCTGGCGGAGCTGGGCTGGCGTGATGGTGCCGGCATCGGCTTGCTCTTGGAGGCTAGAGAGGGCTGCCGGCCGTATCAGCGAGCCAATGTGGTCCGCGTGGAATGGTAGCTCGTGGCCCGTCATGATGCGAGTGCAGAGGGTGCAGAGGTCGAGCGTGTTGCGCAGGAGAGTGAGTCCGTGTGAGCTGCTTCGTCGGCCCTCTGCCGGTACTTGTAGTCATCGCATCGGAGACAACTCGACGTTCGGAAGGCAGGAAACTCCAGCTTTTCCCCTCGTGAGGAGAAATCGGATGGCCCCATCGGCAGTTCAAGCCAACATGACTTAGCACGGTGCCAAACACGTTGCCTGTTGCATGGACGTTGGGAGGCACCAGCGTGGCGTGACGTGCAGCCGAGCCGACGACATGCCCAGGCTGCTTTTTTTTACCTTTTCGGTCTCTAAACACTCGACGAAACAAACGACTCCTGCCTCTGGGAGAAATGGGCAAAGCCACGGAGAGAGAATGGGATGATTCTCTCTGCGTTATAACTTATTGGCGATGTGCTCGACAAGGGTCTGCTCCGTAATCATCGTCCTGCATCCAACCCCACTCCAAACCCCTCTTCTTGTCTCCCGTCTGGAAGTAGATTGGGGCGGCTAATGGACAGTGGACAGTTTCAAATGGCCAAGTATAGAGAGAGAGATCTGACAATCAATGACTGCCAAGAGACGAGGCAACGGCATGGTCATGTTGCCGAGATATCAATCAACATGTGATCATTGATGGTACTAACTTGTACCGACGCCCACATCTCCCTTATTTCCGCATATTACCCGTCAGCTGGATTCTTTCGTATCCGTGAGTGACACTTGTGCTGATTTTACATTGGCAAGGTTTCAACGTGGCATTTGTTTTCACATTTATTTCCCCTACCCTCCCTTGATCCAGCTCCGGGAGGCATGTCGAACGCGACCCATCCATACCGAAGGCGCGTCTTCAGCAGTTTCACCTCAGCAGTTGGACTGTGGAAAAAAATGTGAAAACCTGTATCAAAATCCGTTGACTATGAGTTGGTTTATTTTCGGATGCACATCAGCCCTGCTAATCTCAATGAGACCATCTCTACTTGGCCATGTGTTGGCTGATGGGGCTGCGTCTCGCTGAGCAGCTGAGTATCAGGAGCGAAACGAATCATAGTCCTTTAATACAAAGTTCGATGACGCTATTTTTTTTTTTTTTTGCCCCATTCAAATCAGAAAGAGAAAAGTAGGCCTCTACTGCGGCATGTCGGGTATATTCTTCCATCTTGCCAAGCAAAACAGATGCATTGTCACAGGTAGAGTTGCCGTCATGCGATATCAATTGTTGGAGAAATTCCCAAATTACGCTCCCAACAATTCACATTGACCAACTTGAAATCATGTCCCTCCAGCTGCGGATTTTTCAACCAGACCGATTCAATTCAGCAAACACACGTCATTCACTCCACGTGATATCGTAACTTCTAGTTTTTCCAGAGAACTACCCTATACAGGTCCGCGATGCCCAACTTTGACATTCCCCCCCCCTCCACTCTCCGCCCAGACGTAGCATCCCCAAACCACGCGTTTGTCTCAGTCCCCCAACCCGTGTCCACGACGGCACGTCGGCAGTCTCCCGATCCCTCAACCCCCCAGGCGCGAACAAGGTTCCCTGGGCCATCGGTTAAAGTTTGTCTACGCCGCCGGGACGCGGACCCGCGCTCCCCTGGTCCTTGACCATCTACAACGACGTCTGAAACCACGGTAAAATCACATCAACCAAGAAGTCCTGCTAATTGAACAGTCCCCAATATCCTGGATTGCCCGCGTCCCAGATTAACGGTTCCCCCCGGCCACCAAATGCCATTGTCGTGTTTGCATTTGCATTTGCATGGGGGACATTTCTGAAACGCCGCGCGCCATGATGCCAAATGAGACAAACGCCGACTGAGGGGTTTGTTCAAGCTCTTCGCAGAAAATCAAGGGATGGCAACTCCCTTTGATCGGCAAACGCCAAACGCGGATCCTCGGTTCGCTAATGCTCGCACTCAACAACTAGTCAGATTTACTACTGCCTTCTAGGGTCCCGCGCCTCAAGCATCATGAACGAATTGGAGTGGGTGATTCGGGAAGGTGTATATTTCCTAGCACTAGTATCTGTCCTGGTCGAAAGTAATACGGAGAAAAAAAGTGCCTATACTTTTCCCCCGGCCTATAGCATGAAGGCAATGCGTCTACTTGACCGGCTTAAGCGTCAAAATTACATGCATACTTTGTCGAAATTCTATCCCGATGGCCCGATGGCCCGATGGCCATGGCGTGTTTGAATTCGCATTTGCCTGAGTAGCCGTGGCCTGAGTATATACGCGCCTTGTTCTTGCGGCGGCTGGCGCAGGTTGGAATTTGAACCAGTTTCAGTCGATCAGTCATTTACAATCTCACACAGAACGTTTGCTTCTAGAGCCGTCTTGACTCGTGTGCTAGCTTTCATGCCATGCGCAGCCTGACGACGTCTTTTGGTGGTTATTACAGTCGAGACACAACATCATTGGCGTGTCCCGATGCAGTAAAACCAGCATTCTTGTCAAAGGCAGAATTCACAACCTCGAGCCTTCGGTATGTGAACGACGTCGATGAGGCTGTTACAGATGCTGCTGATTCGAGACGCGTCTGAGCCGTTCAGAGTCCTCGCCGGCGGTTATAAACGACGTAAAATCTCCTCTGATGCCGAAGTTTTTTTTTCTCCTTCCAACCCAATTCACCACCAAGCCTCGATTTCATTCACTAACAGACCTCCCCGAGAGCTTATTCATTCTTTACTTTCACATTCTTTTTTCCCCTCCAAAACTCCAAAACTCACCATGCGTTACTCACTTCTCGCCCTCGGTGCGGGCAAGCTGGCCATGGCCATGATCACCAACACGACCGATGGTCAAGAAACTGCTGGCAAGGCTGTTTCCAACACCATGCCTCCTGTTGTTGGAGACTACGAGCTCTTCGGATGCTCTGCCGCCAATGATGACTTTAAGAGCTTTGTTCGGGTTGCATCTACTGATCACATGGACCTCGACTTCTGCAGTGCCAGTTGCCAGTCCAAGTTCATGGCTGTCAGTGGCAAGTAAGTACTACTACTGCCTTTTTTTCTTTTTTGAAGATCTCCAGCCAGGAATCGGCGAAGAGGCTTGGCTAATAAAGAGACACCAGGGACTGCTTCTGTGGTGAAAGGGCCGATGCGGCTCAGAAACTCGACGCCGGCATGTGCAACAGCCCTTGCCCAGGCAATCAGGCTCAGTCTTGTGGTGGCAACGGTGTTGGCAACACGCGTCGCGATGGTGCAGCTCCCATGAAGGCCGTCTCCATGTACATGCGTTCGAAGGCTGCTGAGGCCGACGGTGCTGTTACGAAGACCATCACCAGCACCAAGGTTGCTACCATCACCAAATGCCATCCCACCGTCACCAACTGCCCCGTGGGCAAGCCTACCCACGTCGTGACCAAGGTCACCGAGACCTGCCCTCGCCCAACGGAGGCGGTTGAGTGGCACAAAAAGAAGATTATCTGCTACGGCGGTCACTGCGCCCCCGAGATTCCTTGCAAGGGCGAGAATCAGCGCGTCATCTGTGACGGTACCAAGTGTCACTCCGAAGCCTGCTACAGCGAGGACTGGAGTAGGCTTGTCATTTGCAAGGGCGACGACTGCAAGTGGTCTACGTGTGATGATGATCGCTGGTACGAGAAGAAGATCGTGTGCTTCGACGGCAAGTGCGCATGGGAGAACTGCCACGGCGACGAGTGCCACAAGAAGTTTGTCTGCCGGGGTGATGAGTGCAAGCACGAGAGCTGCTCCGGTGATGACTGCCACAAAAAGTTCATCTGCGACCACAAGGGTGACAACTGCAAGCCTGCTCCCCCATGCGACGGAAAGGACTGCCCCAAGCCGCCTCCTCCCTGCCACGACAAGTGTCCCAAGCCATCTCCCACCTGCAATGGTGAGGACTGCCCCAAGCTTCCCCCTCCTCCTCCCTGCCATGGCGATAACTGCAAGGTCGTTCCCTGCAAAGGCAACGACTGCGTGAAGCCTGTCCGTCCCACTGGTACTGGCACTGGCACCATGTCACCTCATCCAATTCCCACCGGCCCTCCTATTGTCGCTGGTGCTGGCAACATAGTTGCCAACGTCATCGGTGCGGCTGCCGGTCTCCTCTTTGTCTTGTAAATGGATACATAGGCATGAGAACAACATTGATCGACTTCGATTCTTCCGCAGTGGAGTGGTGTACGCTGCAGCGCATTAACTTTGGGATGAGTTTTGGGTTCAGAATTTGGAGTTTTGGGAGTTATTGCGTTTAATGCACGAGAGGTTGGATGCTATGTGTCTTTTCAGCTCTAGACTTGGTCTGAGAGAAGATCTCTCGTCAGATTTGTCACATAAAGTAGTATATTAATAGGAAAGTTGACAGAACTTACAATCTTACCCATGATGTGGACTGTGATTTGCGAAATTTATTCTTTTCAATAGCAAGAGATTTGAGACGTGGTTTATATCAAGCATACTCAGATACAACGCCTAATGCATGCTTCCCGTTACAGAACCACGCAAGTTGTGCGTCCATGGTAGTCTTGTTCTCCAGTTACGGCGGCGTGGGGGTAAGCGATAACTTGCCAGATACTTGGACGCAAACCCGCAACATTGGACGAGCCGGAGAATCACTCCACAGGTTATGGAGTGGGAAAGTTGTGAGACCCATGTCAGAAGTATTGGTATACATGTGTTACCAGCCGTTCCTGGTTGCCTTTTGCCTTGTGGTACTACCGAACGGACGCCTTCTGCTCGCGAAGGCATTAAACAAGGCGGCTGATGTGACAAACGTGAGAAGTTACGACGATAGACAGTTAGTGCTTCTCATTCCTGTGACCTTGATTTGGCTCGAATTCTCGTCGCAGCACAATAGAGAGCCATGCTGACGTTGAGGATTTCGAGCTTGCAGCTAACATTGTGCTGCGATGGTCATGTAGCGCGTCTCCCCGCCTTCTCTCTGTACGTATGTGTTATGAAGATGGAGATGTATTAATGGTGAATAGTATTAGAATTCTCGCAGGTCTAATGACACGTGCCAAATACAATGAATCGTACTTACATGCGGTTTATTGTCCCTGGCTATTGTGGAAAATGTTCGCACAAGGGAAGGCATAAGCGAGTGAGACTGTGGAACGACCAAAGACGGGACAAGGACAGGCCGAGACCAAAGTACCAGACTCATCAATGCACTACCGACATGATGGGACTAAGAAAAGCAGTGTCACACGACACCGAAAGATCCACTGATGGCGATTGGTGAGCTGTACATGCATGGTAGAAGTAATCGGTGTGGACATGTACACATTTATTATCCTCTTTTTTTTTTTTTTTTTTTTTTTTTTTTACTCGCTATGCGCTGAGAGCTAGCTAGATTTTGTCAATTTGAGGGAACCTGTTTGGACTCGAGCTCGGAGCTTGGTTGTTTGCCAGTGTTGGTCATCAATCGGACCTACTTGACCTTTTGCTGTTGGCCCTGGCCGGCAGACACGAGCCCGTCTTACATGCTGTTGGCCGCATCTCATGTTCGTATTGTCCTCTGGGGGTTTCCAGTTCCGGCGCCTCGGGACTGTGAATTCGCTCTGTGCATGGCTGGACCGTCCATTCATGCAGGCGCTGCCGCCGGTGCTCGTGCTGATCGTCGCGCACCCGATCAGCGTGCCGCACGCACCACGTATTGCTGCAGGCTCGTAAAGCGTCGGCCCAATCATCCGGAATCTTTTTTGGGCGTCTTTGTCCTCGGCTTTGGGCTTTCGGGCCGCGGAATCCCCCTTTTTCAGGGTATTATCCTCTTTTTTTTTTTTTTTTTTTTTTTTTAAGTCCAGGTTAGAAATATTTTCTGCACAGAGTACCCTGTGCGAAAGCCTGGAGACATATGGAACCCCGGGTGGGCGTGATGCAGCGAGTTGATAAGTCGTCTGTTGATCGCCCCAGCTTTCTCCTGTGTAATATAAAGCTCAATCAAGGAAGCAAAAATAATCATCAGACAGACGGAACTCGTGCGTAGCAGTCCGTCGGGTAAATTTTTGAGAAAAGTAGCCCTTGGAGGCCAATAGAATGCCTCCGAAATCGTGCATTCAAATGGATATAGCAACAAGGCGGACAATGTGGTCTCCTGGTAGGACAGCTCGTTGTGGTTGTAACTGACCCGAGGGTTTGGTTCAGCGTAAATCTGGCTTGTAGCCCAAGTTCTGCCAGAATGTTACCTCTTGTGATACCATATCATCCATCATGATTTCCCACGTGTAGCTTGGAAACGACCAGCCGGTCTCGTTGTTGTTGAATTGTTCACGTCCACTATCGTGACCTGTTGCGGTCGCCGTGCGAATGGGATGACGTTGTCTGAACCATCGAAGCAATTCCAATTGCGTCGGAGTGCGGAATCTCATGCTGTTACTGCTTTTCGCACCAAAAAAAAAACATAGGTCTGCTGCATTGGGTAAATGTGCATATGCGCACAAAACAGTGATCGTGGAATTGATTTCCAGTCCGCCTCCCGTCTCTGGTAGGAGTATGTAACGACTCTTACGAGTTGTCTACGGATATCAATTGATGGTCGACTCCGCCAACCATTTGCGCTCCACGCTGGGCAAGAAATACCGCAACGGGTCAATGCAGGACAGGGAACAGGCCTGACCCAACAAACACAAGATCCACGTTTACCGGGGCGGGCTAGCGCATGTTTTCGTGAGCATACTGCTCCCCTAGTCCAATCTTGGTCATCTGATGAACGAATATGGTGTAGTTGCACGGGGAGTGAGTAAGCCATCAAGCCATGTAGAACCTTGTTCAGAGCGGGCTGCGAATGTCTATCCCGTGTGGTCCATGTCCAGCTTCCCATGACGTTCAGTGTGTCTTACGGTAGCCGGCACGGTTGGCGTATCGTTAACTTGCGCCTGGATCTGGGGTTCTGAGCGCCAACCCTCCCGCCCTACGGCCTTGGTGTGGCAGGGCTGGCGTGCTTCGGGGCGTCCACACCCGTTTGCTAGTAGGCAGACGGCGAGCGAATGTGGACTGGATATGTATTTCTCGAGTGAGTTCTGGCAGTTTGGGTCAATGTCATGATGCATCACACAACTCGCCTCTTTCTGCGTACGGAGCAGTGAAGCATTTCACGACACTGAACGTCCAGGCCATCTGGCAGCGACGTGGCTTCGGGTTTCCTGGCTTTCCATCATTAGCATGCGCGGCTGTTGTCCGGACTGGTTCATGCCTAGGCCCCCGCCCGCTCGGGTAGCAAGACGTAGCTCAGTGAGCTGAACGAGGAGTGGAGGTAATCCAAGTTGCTGGCCTGTCTTCTGGCTTGATTCTCGCAGCACGATTGTCTGGTGTGTGAGGACCGAGAACCGGCCTCAATCAGTTGACGAGAACCAGGTCGCACCTGCCTTTAAGGGTAGAGCAAGCGTGACTTCCTAAAGCACGTCGCAACAACCGAACACACCGAGCGTCTTCCGCCTCACACCACGTGTGCATATTGAGTGGCAGATTGAAATATTGGCTCGGGCAGCAGCAGCAGTCTGGCTTTCAAAGCCCACCTATCAGCAGTCATCGTCACAGCCTTCGGCTTCATCATAATTTTCAAGCTTCATACTGCCTCACGCTTTGCAATCCTGCACTCGTGCTCATTCGTGTCTTTCACACCGTCGGTTGGACTTTGGAACAGGTACTAATTTACCCCATCTCGGGGACCAGTGGCAAGTGGGACCGTCCGATTGCAACAGGACAAACGACAAACGACAGCAGAGCACAAGCAGAGCAGAGTCGAACAAACCAGACCTTGGTTAACTCCCGAAGCTCAGAGCTAGGCACGTTGGCGTATGGTATTTAGCCTTGCGCGCCAGGCCAGGTGCTGCTCATTTCCCTTCCATCAACGTCAGACATTCAGATTGAGTCTCCAGAAACTGAACATCCACATTTCGCTTCCAATACTCCCTAACGAGCACCGAACTTGTGTAACTGGAACTTGAGAGACACATTTAAATACCAGGGCTATTATCTTTGGCCAGTTCCGGGTCCGTCAACTCAAAGCACGGGGCACTTGATGACCATTTATACCCCTATGGAATAGAAGGCGGCACGCTGCACTACCTCTCGAAACCGAGCCCATGGCAGAGGGTTTGTCCAACACAAGTCCTTGTTCCACAACGAGGAGAACCACCTAGCCTGTCCTTCGAGAAGCGGGTACGTGGTCAGGCATATTGCTTATAACAAGCCCACCTCCCGCCTGTTTCGCTTGACGAAGAGATCTACGGCACTTTGATCAGCTCAGGATTGAACTACCTTGCTGGTGTATGGCCAAAAAAGGATACATTCCGAACTCGCGCAAAATGCTTGAAAATACAGCCTTCACATTTACGCCAGACACGGCATCAATCTCATCGAGGGGAACCTCCATCTCTGTTGCCACGTCAGACGAAGCCGCCATCATTCGTTGCATAGAGAATGGAGAGTATGTGGATGGACAAGAAATTGATGACGATACCCGCAGTTTGACCTCAAGCGTCCGACAACACATCGTTGATGGGGGCCTACGATACCACGCATATCACGCGGGGCAGTACGCCTTCCCCAATGATGAGAATGAACAACACCGAGACAATCTGAAGCACATATTGACGTTGCACTTGTGTGGGGGAATGTACTTTTTCGCTCCGATACACGAGCTTCTTCAGAGAGGCGCTTATGTTCTCGATCTGGGTGAGTGAAACAACGCTATAATCCTCCGACACACCATCACCCACACCTGCTAATATCGTCAGGCACGGGAACTGGCGCATGGTGCGTAGAAAGTAAGTTGTAATTCTAAATACATGTAGCTGCAACCATATAGCCGAGGCGCCCTTAATTGACCATCTGTTTCTCAGTGGCGGACCTGTATCCAAACTCAACTTTTGACGGCATGGACTTGTCGCCCATACAACCTGATTGGGTGCCCCAAAATGTATCATTCATGGTTGACGATATTGAGCACGAGGCAGGGTGGACGTATGGGGAGAATGAGCTGGACTACATTCATGTTCGACACTTGATACATTCTATCAAGGATCGAAGAGAGATGTGGAAGCGAATTTACAGGTACTTTCAACACCCAGCTATTATTATGCTATAAGCTGTTGCGTAAAGCTTGCATGGCTAACTCTATGGACAAAGTCACCTCAAACCAGGTGGGTACGTTGAGGTGCAGGAATTCAAGTACGCCGCCGCTTGCGATGACAACTCTTGTGACGGCCCCTATGCATGGCGAGACTTTCTGAACTACTTGGCTGCTGGACTAGAGGCTCTTGGATCGGACCTTTACGGCATACAATATGTCGAAAGGGAGCTTCTCGAAGCCGGGTTCCAGGAGCTCCATTACCAGGACTTGAAATGCCCCCTTGGACCTTGGGCCAAACTGTTACGTCTCCAAGAGTGTGGGCATCTTCTACGAGATATTGTAAATTCTGGATTGGAAGGTCTAACTCGTCGACCATTTCGAGATGGTTTAAAGTGGACACCCTTACAGATTCAAATGTTTTTAATCGATGTAAGGAAGGATGTGAATCGGGTTGAGAATGGCATACCACCTTTTCACAGCTATTTTCCCTTTAGGAGTATTTATGCACGAAAACCCTTGGTAACTTGATGTTGGATAGTATGGGTGAACCTCGAATTAGTGGATTAACTTGAAGTTTAAATCAAGATGAAGCCATTGAGCGGCATATAAGACACAGTCGAGTGCATTCTCTTGCTTGAGCATATAGACTTGGACGAGAAGATGGATATGGCATCACGTTATTTCAGCTGATGTGTTGCTGTAGCAAGGCCAAGGAATACCGTAAAGCTTGCATAAGCCGGCGAAATTAAACCACTTTACAATGAAAGGTGTTTTCTAATTTTTTAAAAAAAGAAGAGCCTTGGTCCAGAGCTAATCGGGTTCAAAATGGTCGGCGAAACGTTAATACCGTTAGTTCGCATCGGGAATATGGACTATTAAAGTAAGTTTCCCAAGACATGACCTATCAGTGTAAGTTTCTGATATCTAAGGTGCGTAAGATTTAGCCTACTTGAGTACATTGTACTCGAAGCCAGCCCATCATACCGCTGCATAAAAAGGCGTATTCCCCCAACAAAGGATAACCTCGCGGACCCCGGAAAGGCATCGAATTAGCACTTAAATCTGCTTCCAGGGCACGTTTTTTTTTTGATGAGGAGTCTGCAAGCGCTACTTGATGAGTCACGAACAAATAGGGTCGAGGGATGCGCTTTCCATAGCAAATAAAACATATTCAATGTGATCTTGAGCACCCGATCAGCTACCAGCGGAGAGTATTGAATATGAAATGTGATCTGAGTCGCAGACTGACCATTCAATAAACAAGCCATCAAAGACGAACTACTTGTCTACCTTGGTTGTATTCTCGCCAATACTCTCTCGATTCTAGAATGCTCTCTTTCCGCGGCACTTGAATTCTAATTCTGCGCTATAGAAAAGCCTCCAGGAGCGAAGGTAGTTTATTTCAATATCATCTTACGTGTCCAAGTGGACTTTCTTGGCTTCCGGTAGGTGACAGTCCTTTGGAATGCCGTAAATAGAGGCCCTCTCCTCCAAAGCAATGGTTCTGTTTTTTTGTTTCCTAACCATCCCGTCTCGTCTTCAGCTCACATCACTCTGTTTCCAAAATCCACAAAGCACTCTTCCAAACAATTCATCTTTTATTCCCAGCTCGGGCTTACCCACTTCTTCTACTTGTGTCTCATAATCCAGACCAACTTACATCAGACCACAAGAACAAACAACTGATTTGAGAACTCTCATCAAATACATCAAACCATCTTTCACAAACAACAAAGAAACATGGAGTCCATCGAATTGGATCACCAGCAACTTATTGAAATGAACATGGCCGGCTTCCCCGACACGGTCGAGGCCAGAGCATCCTTGGGTGGCCCCCTTTATTCTTCCGACGCCACCACCTCATCATCTTCACTTGTCTCTAATGAGACTTCAGTGTTTGGGGAAGAATCAAACTACCAGACCTCAATCGAAGAGACTCCCATCAAAGAAGAGAATTTCATCAAAGAAGAGACTCCCCTCAAAGAGATTCCTCTCAAAGATACCCCACTCGAAGAGGCCTCAGAAGAAGAGACCTCAGAAGAAGAAGCCTCAGGAGACGACGACGACAGCGACGATGAAGACAAATTGTTCACCAAAGACAACAGATGTCTACGATGCCTGAAGATATGCTCCTACAACAACAGAGCAGACCACCGAAGAGCCCACGGCCTTCCAAGCTCTGAGAGCGAAGACGAAATGTTCACCCAAGACAACCGATGCCTACGATGCCTCAAGTCGTGCGCCTACAACAACAGAGCAGACCACCGAAGAGCCCACGGCCTTCCAAGCTCTGAGAGCGAAGACGAAATGTTCACCCAAGACAACCGATGCCTACGATGCCTCAAGTCGTGCGCCTACAACACCCGAGCAGACCACCGAAGAGTCCACTCCCTCCAGGGCTCTGAGGGAGTGACGGTCCCCAACACCAAAAGATGTACCTGCTGCGCTATTCGCGGCGAACAATGCATTGTGGCAAAGGAGCCATGCCGCAAGGGGCTCAACACTATCCGATGCTTAAAATGCATCAGCAACCACCGATCTTGCTCCTTCAAGAAGACTTTCAAGCGCCTGCGGGTCAGCAGTCTCCAATACCACCCAGCAAGGTTGGCATGATCCCGAAGTTATTTTTTTTTGGGGGTGGATAATGGTATTTTGCGGCGGAATGGGTTTTGGATTTTGTTGGATACGGCACTTACGAAAGGCTGATGGACTTGGGCAGGACAGGATTCTGGGCATGGAAAGCTTGGCGTTTGGATTTGCTTTGGAGATTACGATTTGGCTTTTTGGATCCCCCTTTTTGGACTTCACTTGATTTGGCGCCACATTCTCCTGATGTGTTTGAACACGGCTCGCAAGTCAGTGCGATGTGATATCACACCATGTGGCATGACATTTCTGCCAATGGACTTTGAATAAACCACCACTTCACACATGCCATATATACGCGACCTGAGAACGGAGTGATGATGACAAAACTACTTTATTTCCAGAAACTATGCTTGCAGGCCGATATCGTTCGAATATGAATCCGTGAAACGGTTGGCAATGTATTTGTTGATTATCCTAGCATATTCCTATTCCCTGCCAAATATCTCGTTTGAAATGTGTGGTTTCTGGACTGGAAGTCGTGTGCCGTCGTGAATATTCTCCATGGAACATGATGGAAGGGTGGCTTTGTCCCGGCTTTGACGTAAAGTTTGATCTTTATACCAATGGCGTATATGCAAGCCACAGGTCGTGATTATACTCCCCCCCGTCTGGACACGATACTAGGACCATTATAGAGTTTGCATGCGTGACTCTGTCTTACGCCTGCATTCAGTCCTCGCTCCTCCAAGCAGTGTTGGCATCACCATGTATCGTCAAGCTCAATTTATTTCAGGAGGCGGGTTGTATGCGTTCTCAGAGCTGGCTAGATTACCACCTCGGCATGACTGACTGGGCTTGGCCAACAAATCATGCGACACCTTTTACCTTGGGCTCTCGTATTCCTCGAGTAAGATATCTTTGAACGATCCTGTTAAAGTTGCTATTACGTTGACATTGCGTAGCCTCTGCCCATCGTCATCGCCAACTAGCTCATTTCCTGCAGACACAGAGATCCTTTGATGGAATACTAATTATTGGGATGGAATCCTTCAAGCCACGTAAATTCAGGTACGTAGAATGCTCCACCAAGCATCTAATAAGCTTATTTGCGTACAACAAAGTTAGAATGGTGAAGAAATGCATAGAAGATTCCCCTATGGTCTAGTCGCTTCGTAGGACTTGGAAATGAACTTGGTCGCTGCTCTAATGTTGCTAGTAGTATATGCCCTACAGCCCTTTCTAATTATGCATATTTTATGGAACTCTCGGTAGGCTAGTATACATTGCCTCGGTGTGCTAGATACGTGAAGGAGCGGAAGCGTCTTGGAAGCTGATCAGGGTATTCCATCTACCGACTAGCAGTTTGCCAACTCCCTTGTGTTTGTTGTTTCTTTCTATCTTGGGTGAATTGCCTCGACTTTTCGTGTAAGAGTGGTTGCCGTAAGGGATTGTGACGGAGCAAAAGAGGCCGGCGAAAAATTAAACAGGGCTTGGCAAAAGTCATATTGTGGAGCTTCGCAACAGACGTGACTAACACGATTACTGGGGTTCCAAAAACAAAAGATCGGCTTCGTAAACTTGTAGAATTCACAATCGGGTCTTCGTGATGCGGCCAAGTCCGAGACCAGCAAACAAATATCTGGCACATGAGTACGGGCCAGGACTTGAGACATATTTTTTCTGTAGAGGGCAATATGTGTCTGGGCTCTATCAGAGAAATCTGGCTTATTTTGATAGCACTTGTTCAACTCGATACTACTGGGGGAATGGGCTTTTTAGCGAATGCAGATGCAGCAACATGTTTCCCTTGTGAGAAGGGCGTGTAAGTCGACGAGAGAGACGGTGGGAAGTACAGAAATAGTAGAGATTTAAAGAGGAATAGAGTCCTTACGAAGGCCGAAAATATTACTGGGATTGAATGCTCATTGACTATAACAAGACAAAGTGATGTTCCTGTTCTAGTTCCATCGACCTTTAGCAATGAGTTTCTGACGACTTATGCCACGTGCCCTTAATAAATGGAATGATGGATAATGACAACGCTACGTCCTTGCATCTGGGATTGCATGGAGCGCTGTGGCTTCATGGCGCAGCATCGAGCTTTGTACCACAACCATCACGAACAACCGGCATCTTAACTACAATTGAAAGGAGCACAGGCTGCCAAGACCAACCCAGTGCGGAAAACCACATTTCTCAGAAATCATCATTTGGCGAACCTGCAAATATTCCTTACCCATCATCGAGGTGTGCCTGTATAAAGAACCGCAGAGCCTGCTCTGTCCACAAAACGGAAAGTGACGGCAGCTGCTTCAACATGCAAGCATCACCACGCCAGGCAGAAAGAAAAACCAATTTTTCCACGGACAAGGCTACATCCAGCACGCAAGCCATTCATCTACTGGCTACGATGTGCCCCGGACGACGTGGCATGGACGCCCACAATGGCACGTCTAGCCAACCACGTCCCCAAGAACGAGCAAACCAACAGTCACGGCTGAAATTTGAGGCGAAACTTGGAACAAAAATGATGATATGCCGTCAGCAAGCGTCTGCCTACAGCTAGATGAAATGACCAGGCAGCCTTGCGCCCATAACTCATCCCCGGCATGCGCACCACTCAGCATGCATCCCCGTACAATGAGATGTTATAGCAAACAGTGTGGCGAGGTTAGCATTGGGGGGCAAACAGCCTCGCATGATCCGCTTCAGCACATGAGGGAATTCACGATGAAGCATCAAATATGTGAAACAACACGAAATGACTGACCAGGTCTCACGGTGACTCACCCGTGGCATGGGTGCTTAACAGGGCCATAGAGGCAAAACGCCACAACGACCGTGCTTAAAATACCCACCACTCAAAAAGAACAGGTGGGGGAGAACTCGAGATGCGGTGACGCAGACGAGTTTGGAGTAATGGCATGTGAAAGCGTTGATGAAGGCGGTTTGCGACGCGCAGACAAGGTGCATGAAAATGGTCATGACACATTTTGGTGGCGAGGTCTTGGAGAGCTGGCCAAAGTTGACCTGTTAAACGAGAATGGACCAAAGACGGAATACCAGTTGACAAGTAGTGCCGACGAATTGACACGGCAGAGTTCACATGAGCAAAAGCGTCTGTGGCGAACGACTTCTCACCCAAGCTGCGCCGAGAGCAATCGTTTACACGATACAAATGTCATGTGTAAGTCGGAAAGACGGGATGCTTTAGCCGTCAACGGAGAGTGGAGAGTGGAGAAGGTCTGGTGGGTCAACGGATGTGGCGCCTTCCCCAATCGAGTTCCGTTCCAGGGGTTTGGGTCATATCACGTGACTATTACGTAGCCGCACCGCCACGCGAATGGCCACACCCACGTGGCTTGACGGGAGAAGCGTGGCCCAGCCCCCAATCGGCAAACGTGCATGAAGAGCACATCAGAGTACATGACATGAGAGCACACGCGAGGAAGGCACCTGAGCAAATAAGCGGCAAGCAGCTGGCAGACAGGCTGCGGATTGCGGCAGCATGCAACTAGCGGATCGGCCGTCATGGATGCATACATGGAGAGACAGACGAGGCGACATGGACATCCAGGGGCAGCAGGGCTTATACACCTAATTGGCACGTATCAGTATCATGATCAGCCCTACATGTCTGAATGCCCACCGACACACGGAGTAGCGAAGTACATACCAGAGTACCGGCCTGCGTAGTTATGCGGAGCTATTAGGGCAGAAGACGGCCCAAGACAAACTGGAGGTGAATAGGCAATCAGCACAGGATCAGTGTTCCGTGCCAGAAGGAAAAGGTGAAAAAAACGGTTCCATACCCAAGGTACTAGCACTTGGGCAATTTCCTTTTTCGCCGCCGCCTAGTAGTAGAGATGGAAAATGTGATGGGTCTGATTGGGCACATTGGGCAACAGCGGCCTGCAACTCCCAGTTGACATCGGTTTGCTCGAGTGGTCGGACAGAACTCCCCAAGCCAACTCCCGTACTCTGCCTGCACATTATCGCTACTCGGCACCCAATTTCGCCAGGGAAAAAATGGCGGCAGGGTTATTCAAATGAGGCTGTCGATAGCAAGCCCTTCGAACGCAGCCTGCGCATTGTGCGACGATAACCCGAGTCCTATTATCGGTCTGCGACGTAATGGCGAGCGAGAGGGGAGCCACTGGGCATTGCTGCAGTAAGGCATCGAGAGAGTGGCAGTAGCTGGAACCTTGGGGTGTGTCCTGGGATATGTATCATCAATTCATCATGCACCTCAGGCGAGACGTTATGCAGCTCGAGACCTCGCGACCTCCAGACGACTCCCCGATTTTGTCAAGGGACGAGAGAGCAAAGACGAGAGACGATGCCAAGGGCCCTCGGCTTGCTGTCTACGCAGGACACGGACGTCAGACAGAATAGTTGGTTGGGGCGTCGTCGGCCGTGGCCTTGGACGCAAGAGCGCGGAAACACGACCAGTCCGTTTTCATTGCCCGATCCAGATCTTCGGGACCGGCGACATACATGTACGCAGCATGTATGGTTGATATGCCTTTCTATCCCAACACGGCACGTGAATGAAGGACTGAAGGCCTCACCCTCGACGACGTCATGCAGGCCGCACAAATGGTACGTTGCAAAATCGTCATGACGAGATAAAGCACGCAAACTGACCAATTCGTGGTATCACGGAAGGCGTACATATCAATAAACATCTCCCGCATGCCATCAATCACCCCCCACCCATAAAACCCGGTCGAAAGAAGACCAGTGTGACAAATTGTTACTGGCTTGGGTCCACGCCTTATCATCATGATTATCCGCCTCGGTTGGCAAGACTCGGGGATCGTGTAAGACAGATGCGCCTATTGCGCCCAAGAAGGCTCTTGGTCGGTTGCCTCTCCCAGCAGACATCTGGCGATTCTTCCACAAGATGCCATCTCGCCCGACCCATATGGAGGGAGTACTCTTCTCATATCGACAGTCGGGCCCTCATTGGCACTTGTAAACAAGCGGGTGGTTTGTTTCTTTTTTCTCTTTCTTTTTCTCTC